AAAACTTAGGAGATCACTTTCTCTTGAAAGAAAATTTGCTTTATGGATGTTTGTTTTATGAATAATGAGACTACCTTAGCTACACCGATATTTATTTCAGCTCTAACTTGTTCATTTTATCAGAGAGGGCTTCAAGTTGCTCATTTAACATTTCCCTTTATACTTGTGCTCTGTTACTTTCTGCATTTCATAACAAACACTAGGTGTGTGCTTGTGTGTTCATAAATTCAGTGACTTTGCAGAACGTGACTATCCATCTTCCACCAGGTGTGAGGTAGTGCGCAGTTACCATGAACTAAACTGTAGCTCTGGGTGTGCATCCAATATTTGAGAGCAACAGCAGAAGACTTGGATGAGTGGTGGATGACTTTAGGTTGTGCTTGGTTATAAATGGCCAGTATAAGTAAGTAGCTGTATAAAATACAAGCAAATTTAGAGAGAGTGCTCTAAATGTCAACATGAGCTTAAGTTATTATTGAGAGCAGAGTATGCTCACGTCAGATGCTACGTTGTTCTATTTCCTTTGCTTTGTCTGAGTTGTTAGCTTGAGGCTGTTGATGATGGCTTCATCCGCCCATCTTTGTTTTGGTGTAGCTTCTCTACATTTTTAAAGTGACAAAAACAAGTCTTTTAATGTGCTATTGATTGTGTTTGTTGTGTTTTTAACTAGTCTAACTGAACTGGAAACACCAGTTGTTAAACCTTAAACATTTTATACTCTAGGCCAGTGGTGTCCAGCTTAACAACCACCATCCGCTCATTTTTTGCTGTTTACCTACCTGCTACAGAGCCCCTGACTTCAACTTGACCTCAAGTTCTGCAGAAGCCAGTTAATCACCTGCTGATTCAAATCGAGTGTATTGAAGCAGAGAAACATCTACTTGCAGGAGACCGGCTCGAGGACCAGGATTGGACACAAATGCTTTGTACTGAATGTGCTATAGAGATAGGACTGATTTATTTATACCTTTATGGTTTAAAACAAGGGTGTCAAACTCAGTTTTGCTCAGGGGCCACATTGAGGAAAATCTAGTCCCAAGTGGGCCAGACCAGTAAAATTAAAGTATGTATAAATTAAAAACTGCTTCAGATTGTTTTCCTTGTTTTAATACGATCAACATAAAACAAAGCTGGAGCCTGAGGACAGTGAATCCAAAATAGTTTAAGCACAACATCACTATTAATAATAAAACACCTGAAGTGTATTTGAAAATGTGAAGTACAAAACAAAAAACCCAGACTATTCCTCAGTAATTCAAATAACTGATTCACAGATCACATGGCTACATCAGTTTCATACATGTCTTTGACTCCTGATACCTGACATCTTTTAACTTTCACCAGTAGTTTAATTGAAAAATGAAAGCTTATTTTCAGACTTTACATTGTAAAGTCTGAAAATAAGGTTTACGCAATCATCTCGCGGGCCGGATTTAAACTGTGTGCAGGCCTGATCTGGCCCGTGGGCCACATGTTTCACACTCCTGGTTTAAAATGTCTTTATTTTTTAAACAATTTCATGAACATGTGAATATGTAGGGTGTTTCACCGCTTACACATGACATCCAGAGACACACTAACATTTCTCTGGAAAAGATGAAAACAGACGTGAAAGGATGTGGTCCTTCAAGACCCCGTGCATGTTTTCTTTTATATATGTGCTGTGTTAGCACCCTATGGGGTTATGCTATCTGACTTTCCATTTTTCTAAGTTCAATGTACAGTTCAACCCAAAGGACAAGGCCACCTGCCTGCCCAATCACCCGATCACATGACCCCTGCCCACTGTTGTTTCTCATAGCGTAGCTCCTTTATGTCTGCTTAGACTGCTTGGTGAAAGAATGGATGAATGGGTGAATGAATATATTACAAGACACTCCAGAGACACGTATGCGTTTGGGAATGTCGGGGGGAGCCGTGGTTAAATGGGTCAGGTCCCCTGACACAATAGTGGTATTACCGTGTGAGTCTTAGGGGCAGACAGGAGGGTAGAGAGGGGTACACCCATCCTCTCTCTGCCAATTATGGACATAAATAACTTCCTAACAGAGCTTCCATGGAAATTAGGGTCAAAGTGTCAACTCTGTTTTCAAGTAGTTCAGGCCAACTGATTCATGGTGGTTTGATGTTCAGAAGTGGAAATAAAAGATTGACCTTTAGTAAGTCTAGCATATACTTGAATTTATCAGAAATGAGTTTCATGTTTGTGTTTTTTCACAAATACGTGTCTTTTCTTTTTCCTCTCTTTTTAAATCAACAGTATTAAATTTCAAGGCCTGACAACAAACACCAGACACTCTTATCGGGTGTCCTGGTCTCCACGCAGATGCCACCTCTGCTGTAGGTAGCTCCTGTAAACTGTATATTTAAGGAAGGGGAAGGTGATGACACTAATGACCATGATGATGTTGAAGATGATGGGTGAGATGTTTTGAGGATTAGGTGTTGATTAAGGGGTAAGGCAGTGAGATTATCACAATGACAGGGTGGCTAGATGCCATGCTGTTATTTTGAAAGGCTGGTTGTGGAAGCAGCAGTAAATTAGTAGCCTTCTATGTGTGTTGATGTTTGTCTTTTCCTCCCTGCTTTCACATTGGACTGTGCTCAGCACACTGACACAAACGGCTTTACCATCACTCCCTGCAGGCAGGCAACAGTGTTGCTTAATCAGCTGCAGAGAAGTAGGGTAAAGCTGTGATTTAAAGATGAAAACGGCATGCTGTAAGTTTGAATGAACATTCCTGCTTGAAAAAGACATTAAACGCTATCTTATCTCATTTAAGCAACACCATTAGTCTGATAGCTTTTTATTAGCAGGGCTATATAACTCTTTATGTTTTGCTGGTTTCAGCAGAGGGGATTCAATTCAAAACGAATACAAATCAAATATTTGAATATGTGAACAAATGCACATGCATGATGAGTCAGATATATAAAGGTAAATATTCTTATCTAGAATGAACAGTGTGGCAGTACCAAAGGAACAGCTACATCTATATTTTTCACTTCACTTCTCCTGGGCTGCATGGTGGCGCAGTTGTTAGCACTGTTGCCTCGCAGCACGAAGGTTGCAGGTTCCAAACTCGGCTGCGGCCTTTCTTAGTGGAGTTGCGTGTTCTCCCCATGCATGCGTGGGCTTCCTCCGGGTTCTCCGGTTTCCCCCACAGATCACAACGTGCCCTATAGGTTATAGATTGTAAGTCGATTTGGATAAAATCGTCTGCCAAATAAATAAACATAAACATAGTTTATCCAGCCTGGAATAATATGGGAATGTTTATTCACTCTTCAGGGCCTCGACCAATCCCCGTCTGGACCTTAAGCATGCTGCAGTCATTTGTAACGTTTTCACATGTAACCTTTTGCTACTCCAGTATTAAGTCAAGCAAAAAAATCAAGACAGATTAGCTTGTCTGCTGAAATGGGACCAGATATTACATTTTGTGCGCTTGCAGTTTGTATGCTTGTGAAGATCTGCTGACTAAATGCAAATTTTGCACCTTGTCTGTGTGATCAAATTTAAATATTTCATACCAAATATTTATGTTTGCGCACATTTCAGAGACGATTTTTAAAATTCCTATAAAACAAATTTTTTACTTTCCGCCTTCCTTCAGTGTTTTGCTTTTGTTGTCTGGTAAAGACGTCATACATCTCATTTCTAGCAGTCTAGTAATGTTACAGTTAATGATGTCCCGTTCCGATATCGATATCAGAAATGGTTCTGATATCGGCCCAAAACCTCTATCGGCGTATATCGGACTGCATCAAAAATCTTCAGTATAAGCAGTCCGTTCTGCTAGGGCTGGGCAATAAATCGAAAATTTGTCGTTATCGAAATGTCTGACTCTTATCGAGATCATTTTCCCCATGTTAATAAATGTGATAATAAATCAATGTGTGTAGGTTGACAACGTGTCATGTCCCTTTAAGAGGCTGTATCACCTTGTCACGTAATACATGTGACAGCCCCATCTAGTGGACAACTTTTGTTTCTGTGTATACCTGTAGTTATCCTCCATTTTTTGTTATCGAGGTGAAATCCTCAATATATCGTGATATAGATTTTAGGCCATGTCGCGCAGCCTAAAATTACATTCTAGCAATTCTATCCAGCAGAGCCCAGATTTTGCATGCAAAGCCCACGTGGTCAGAACAGTGCATGCTAGCAAAGTAGCGAAGAACAAAAAAGACCGTGTGGCTCAGTGCAACATTTGCCATGCACACGTTTCCCATGGTGGAACAGAGCCAGAAAAGTTTAATACGTCCAACCTCATTGTGCGTTCAAAGCAGCATCTCAAAACACCGCATGAGGATTTTCGCAGTGTGTGAAATTGAAAGCTAGGACACTGAACTTTTAGCAGTTGATCAATGGTTGATATTGTGTTTTATATTTCTTATGTGCCTGCACTCAGATGTTCCTATCATTTGCCGACAATCAAACATAACTAAAGTGACCTTGAATTAGTATTTTTCACTTTTAAAAGCTATGATTTTGTTTAATTATTACTTACTTACTAATTATTAATTTAAAAATTTTTTTAGAGTCTTTTAATTTATTATTTAGTCTTTTATTTGTTTGTTATACAGTATGTTTAATGTTTACATTTATGCAACCAATGGCTAATAAAAAGTTGGTTGTTTTTTTCATGCTTACTGTCGCTGCATTTTATTCTCAGTTTGAGTAGTGTCCTGTGATCAAGCTTTTCATACATTCTACACGTATGAAATAGGTGAAAGTATGTATGATTGGTGCTTATATCGTGTCGGATTTATATCGGTATTGGTCAATACTGAAGGCTGCAATACTGGTATCGTATCGGAAGTAGAAAAGTTGTATCAGGACATCCCTAGTTACAGTTCTAACAAACTCGGATAGCTTTAGAAGTGAGATTTATTTTTATTTTTTTTTTACAGAACATCTCTAAAATCTTCACTAGTATTAATTGTGCTAGATTTACTAGCCTACTGATGTTTTGATCTTGTGTGTTTTGTTGCAGAGTGCAGCTATGGAGGAAACTGTCATATGGGAGCAGCACACAGTGACCCTTCACAGGGTAAGTGATAACAACTGTTTAAACCACTTTTTCATATCTACCCCTTTTCTTGTGTCTGTCTTTGGCAGCATGCGCTTCCTTTTTGTTCTCCCTGCTACTTTCTGTCCTCTGGCCATCTCTGAGACTTCTGCTCAGAGAAACTGTGCCATAGCAGCAGGATGTACGGCTGAAACAATAGTCAGGGAATCCAGATGGCAGGAAACAAGGCTAAGGAAGACTGAAATCGGCATCCCTTTCCTTGCTACTTCATTTCATTTCCTTCCTGGCAACATACCCTTCTTCTTAATACATCTCCAGGAAAAAAGATCAGTATTTAGACCCATTTTTCCCATTAAATAAATTAGATTAGACTGCTTTTCTAATTTTCCAATTATACACCAGTCCTAAATAATATGTCTTAACTGGCATTTACAATTAAAATATTAAGCTGTAGTCTTACTCCATCTTAGATCTGTGACTGTACTTTAGCATTCAGACCATTAAGTCTACTTAGCCGATGTTGTTGTATCGTGGGATTGTGGAGAGCACCTGTCTAGACTGGCCTGCTTGCTGTAATCTAATTAGTAACAGCTTTTTTGAGGCTGAAGAGTTGGCCCAGTATGACCTGTGGTTCTCAGCCTTGGATTGCTTGTGCTATGCCCGCTCTGGTTTGTCTTTTGCAAAATCATTAGTACAGCTAAAATAGAGAACAGATGCGTAGCTTTGTTACTGAAAACATTAAGTTACGTCCTTCCTTGCCATGCTGCTGTCGTGTTTAGGGCAAACGTCTGGTCAAATCTTATATTTCTGTCCTTTTGTTTGCAGTGTTGGTTAGTCTTGTTGTGTTTGTTTTGATGTGTCTAGGCTCCTGGATTTGGGTTTGGTATCGCCATCTCAGGTGGGCGAGACAATCCTCACTTCCAGAGTGGAGAGACGTCCATTGTGATATCTGATGTGTTGAAAGGAGGTCCTGCAGAGGGCTTATTGCAGTAAGTGTTTGTTTGGAAATTGTATGATTCTGCTTCATTAGGTTGGCCAAATAGTTAACTGTCTGTATCATTTTTAGAGAAAATGACAGAGTTGTTATGGTCAATGCCGTCTCTATGGACAATGTAGAGCATGCATATGCTGTTCAACAACTTCGCAAGAGTGGGAAAAATGCAAAGATAGTAAGTTTAACAGTTATATTTATAAAAGTCCTTACAGAGAGTCACAGTGTTGCAGAGATGCACTTGATCTTTTTCATAATGAATAAGAATAAAGCCAAAAAACAATTTTCTTCTTAGACCATTCGTCGGAAAAGGAAAGTACAAATTCCAGCCTCTAAGCCAGGTGACAGGGAGACGGTGTCTGAGCATGAGGAAGAATACACAGATGAAGATGAAACCTATCCGCATCACAGTGACCGGGCTGGTCAAAGTGCCTCTGGAGGTGCAAGCGGGGGCACCAGTAAGCGTCATGACCGCGGGAGGCGAGAACACAGTGCCTCCCGCGACAAGAGTAACTCGCCGCGATCTGACCGCCGATCACAAAGCTCATCTGCTCCATCTAAGCCTTCCAAGGTCACACTTGTCAAATCTCGCAAAAACGAAGGTTAGCCTCATTTTGTGGGGTTCAAAATATTGGATATCAGTTTTGTTTTTCATGGGTTTAATTAATACATGCTGCAGAGGGATAATATTTGTTGACATGATGGTTATGTTTGTCACCTTTGACAACAGAATATGGCCTGCGGCTGGCCAGCCACATCTTTGTGAAAGACATCTCTCCAGAGAGCCTTGCTGCCCGAGACGGAAACATTCAGGAGGGAGATGTTGTACTTAAGGTGAGACAAACGAGATAGCTTGTACAAATTGGCCTGAATGTGGAAAAGCAAAATAAAAGAAGATCAAGTTTCTTCCTTTCATTTTTTTTCCCTGAAATTTTATCCCGTGCTGTGATCTGCTAAATGTGGCTTCTACAATGAGGTCACAAATGATTAGAGCAGAAATCCCAATTCTTGTATTCCTTTTCTTTGGCTCATATACATTTGGCTTATTTTGAACTTTCTGTGTCTGTAAAAATGCTAAAAGCATTCATAGTCTCTGTAAATGTCTCCAAACGTTAGAGAATCCACAGTAAGTGCTTGTACTGAGCTGCTGCTCCTCCTCCAACAGATCAATGGCACCGTTACAGAGAACCTCTCACTGATAGATGCCAAGAAGCTGATTGAGAGGTCAAAGGGCAAGCTGAAGATGGTGGTGCAGAGAGATGAAAGAGCCACGCTGCTCAACATTCCTGACCTTGATGATAGCATCCCATCGGGCAATAATTCAGACAGAGATGGTGAGGCGACAGTCGCAGCTGGAACAGAGTTTTTAAAAAAAAGATGTGAATCTTAAACGATAAAACGTTTCAAACACCGTGAGGAACGGACGCCACTCTGACAGTGTCACTATTTTGAATTTCATTTAAGTAATCAATCTAAGCTTTTTTTGTGATCAATTTTAATTTCAGACATTTCAGAGATACATTCATTGACATCAGACCATTCCAACCGATCCCACGGGAGAGGTCGATCAAGGTCACCTGACAGGCCAGAAACAGCGGACCACCTCCGTTACTCTCCTCGGCAGATGAGCAATGGCAGGTAGGCGGAACACACACACACTTCAGATGATGGGACAACGATGTCACACGTGACACGGCCATGTAGCCGTACTCTCACCCACTCCATACATCATGCTCACACCCACAGGTGAGGGGGTGCTGAGTAAGCAACCTTGCAGCACCAGAGTATCAATCAATATGTGGAGGCATAACATGCATAAACCATCACTCTCCCTGTGGAGCCATCAATGAGCTCCGATAAAGGATTTCTATGGCCGAGTACGGGGCAGGAAAGGTGGGATCGATGGTCCGCTGTTAGAGTGAGGGCTTGTTTTAAAAATGTGTAATAGAGTCCAAAGCTACGTAATTATGACCACACATATGTTTAACATAAGTCCTGTTTGCCTTCTTTCTTACTGCTAGATAGTTCCTGTGGGGTTTTCACTCTTTAGACTGGAGGTTGTGGGTTTTTGAAGCATTGCCCTTAAGAAAGTCTGGATGATCAAATTGATCATCTGAGTAGTTTTTGTTTTTATGAGCCTGAATTTTCAGGTAACCAATATAGAACTGTGCTAAAAAGACCTTGTTCAAAGTCGTGGAAACAACCACAGGTGCCAGTGAGGAGTGTGTAGTTGGGGTTGTTGCTGTTGAAGTAGTTCTGTTCTTCAGGCTTCTGTCATTTTAAGGGTTTAGGATGTGTGTATGTGTACTGAATAGCAATTTTTTCTTTAACCAGAACTATGCAAAACTCAAAATGAGCAAATGTTACCTGTGACTTCTCTTGATGTTACATCTTGGTGATAGTTGGTGAGAAAAACAAACCAACTGTTTCACAATCCACACAGATTCATTCTGAGAGTTCTTTTGCTGTGTGACATTTTGCTCACTTATCAGGTAAACAACATTTCAGCATTTGTTGCCATGATTACACACTAAATAAAGCTGCTTGTTGGCCCTAAAAAGCCAGAGCATCATTTAAAGTTACCTTGCTAAATCTCCAGTCTCCCTCAGCAGTGCAGCCTTTTGGCCACAATCACACACAAGCCTACACATTTAAACAGCTGTTGTTGTAGCCGGATGTCCTTCCGCTTTATTGCTGCCTGCCGAACAGGCTTTCTAGCTGCTTGTCAGTTATACTTTTTGAATGAGTGCAGCCATTTCATTCATCCTGTCACACTGGATTTACCATACCGGTATTACAGTTTGTCTCAAATGCTAAAACACATTTCACAAATGTTTCCTCCATGTTCCCCAATGTCTAAACACAACACCCTTTTCTAAAACTACATAAACACAACCACACCTTCTCACTTCAAAACTCAAACTTTCACACCAAAAGAGCAGCTCGAAGCTTTCAAAAATGTAAACACTATACACATCATTACACACTACAGCAAAACAATTGAAAACACAATGCTCAATTTGTGAGAAGGTTCTTTGTTTCATAACTGCCCATTTGCCCATTTTTAGAAACTTTACAGTTACGGATCTTCTTAGATCTCTGCAGAGGATTAGGCATTTAGATTTGTGAGTTTCATAGGAAGGGTATAAATCTATAGAAAGTTCTGCATGTACACTACTGTAACACAACTCAATGCAAAAACAGAATCTATTGCACACAACAGTACTCTTGACAACATGAGCAGGGTGTGAAATTTTTTTATTTACTTTATTCACAACACACAGACACACACCACAATCACTGTGCGGCATCATGTCGCTGAGCTGCATCGGGCCACATCATCTCATCCACATTGCAGGCTATATTGTCTCTTGCCAGGCACCGCGGGAAAAACGCCCTGGAATGGCAAATCCATCCTTGTAAGGCCTCCACTGGGATGTCACCACAGGCCAGCTTCATTGCCCTTAGGAGGTTCTCTCTGGTGTATGGTTGTCTGTCATAAACCGTCCATCTCCACGACGAGAAGAACTCCTCTATAGGGTTCAGGAAAGGGGAGTAGGGTGGCAGACAGACGTTTAAAAAGTGGTTACTGTTGGTGGTGAACCACTCTCTGATTTGGTTAGTTCTGTGGAAGCGGACATTTTCCCAAATGATCACATGAATGTGATGTGCGGGCCCAGGATGGTGTTGTTGGCGGTCCAGGAGAATGTCTTTTAGCTCCTCTAGGAAGGTGAGGAGATGTGGTCACAGCATTAGCAAACACTGTCTACAATTTTGAGTCGTTGTGTGTAATGAATGACGACAGGTGTGTTCATTGTGTTCAATCAGTGCTGCCTGTGGCAAGCGTTTGGCATCACATGAGCTTTCGTTTGAGAATATGAGCAGAGTTCTTTTGCAACTTGTGTTTTAGCAAGGAAAAATGTGTTTAGATTTATGAGAACGGAGGATTGTGTTTTGTGAATTGTGTCTTCATGTGAAATGTGTTTATGATGTTGGAAAATGATGGCTGGATTTAGTAAATGTGTTTAGACAACTGGTCATTTGGTTTAGAGGATTGGCTTTTGTGTTTTAGCATTTGAGAACAACTGTAATGTGGGGTGAAGGCACTGCTGCACAGTTGCTTCCACTGGAAAGGAGCGCATCTTTAAAACTAGATAATATTTTATTTTGAAACTTTTTACATTGTTTTCTTATCTATTTCTTATCTGTTTTTAAAACTCATTGTAAAAGTTGGAACATAAATGAGGATGCATACTGACTGACCGGCTCCAGTTCAGCAGTGGTTTTGATTTGGTCACTAGACTGATGTAAAGGAATGTTGTTACTGTCTCCCCTTTAGCAGGGGCATGACAGAATTTGACATACTTCCCACAGTGCTTTGGACCACGCTGGATGGTCGGCTTAACCTGATTGGCTGAAAGGCTTGAGGGAATTCTTTTCATGGGGTCTGAACATTAATGTTGGGTTTTTTATGATTAGCATGTGACCAATGAAAAGTTCCTCATCAAGTGTTTGTCAGTGAGTTTAGATGTACTCCAGCTTCTGATGCAGTTTATATGGTGGATTAAGAGAACATCTGTTTAATAACCATCATGGTTCAACTTACAGAGTCATTTGTGTGAGTAACTGTTGTTGTTTTTCTATTTGTTTAATTTTGCCAAGTGATTTAAATGTCTAGCTGGATGATTGTTTAGAGTTTTTCTTTATAAGAATGTAAGGATCTTGTTTTTTTCTGTTGAGTCCGTTGGGTGCAGTAAACGGTGTCCTTGTCACGCCCTTTTTAGCACCTTTCTGCTGCAAGGAGCTGAAGATTGAGGCCAGCCCATTAGCACTTTTTTATTTAGTTATTTAGTTTGGACCTCTCACTTTATTTTTGATTTGATGCTTGCGCAACAATCTCAGACTCTTATTTTGTTCCTGTTATTTAACATCAGGATGCATTTACCGCTCTTTCTCCACCACAATAATCTTAAAGGAATACACAGATGCTTGTTTGAAAACTGCATTGTGGTGAGAACTGCTGAATTAGTTCAAAGACCTAGAAAAGGCTGGGCTTGTAAGTATATGCTGCAGCTGCACAGCTTTCACATTCGTCCCTGAGAAAGAGGCATATACCTGAAAATATGTGCAACTGTTCAGTTTTTAATTTTTATTATGTTTGTGATTAAATTATTTTTTGTCTGTGCTTTATTTTTCTGCTTAAGGAGAATGTGAAATGGCAGGTGTGAAGACTCAGTTGTAGTTTGAGCTGCTTTAACAACCTGCGTCGTCACATTTTTGTTCAAAAGCTTTCGAGTAAAGCTCCTAACTCTGGCAGGACAAGTCATGTGATGCGACTGGAATTCAACTATTGTTTTAAGCTGCAGACATTTTTATTCCACAACTTGTAGGAGTCAAAGCACATTTACTTTTAAATATACCATACCAATTTATTTATCAAGCGCATTTAAAAACAGCATGTGAGCTGACCAAAGCTCCTCACAGCTGGTGCAGTAATTATGCAAGACTAACAAGCCGTCACAACCAAAAATTAAATAAATATGAATATTCATCAAGCTCTGCAGCTGGAAGCAAGTTTGTACAGCCTGTCAGTTGCAAAGATGACATTAAAAAACAAAAAGAAAGATGAACAGGATTTCATCGCAGTCGTAAAATGATTTGAAAATCCGTTTTCAACATGATTTATTTCCAGAATCTTCTGTGTTCCAATTCCCCAAAAGATATTCCTAAATGACTTTGCTACTTATTGCCTCCGTGACATAGTTGGGTTATTTTTATTCTTCCCATTAATTTCTGGAAATGATAGAACTTCTTAACAAAGGGCACGCATGAAAAATGTTGCACTGATTTAAAACGCGTGTGTTCTGTCTGTCATTCAGCTGAACTGTGTTTCTGTTTTTTTTTTTAGTCATCGGAGTCGAGAAGAGGATCGCATATCTAAACCAGGGGTCATGTCCACACCAGTCAAAAGCTTTGATGACGGTGTGGGGTCTCAGGCCAGTGACCAGGCCAGCTCCAGAGATGACAAACAGTTACCTCCGCTGCCTGGTAAAGTTACTAGAAAGTAACCCAGCAACTCGAGCTTGTCCTAACCTGCACCTCCTAACACAGTCTCCAGATCAATAAAAGCTTAAGCTGTCATCTTAGACACAAACTATTTATTTGTAATTCCTGAGGTAAATAATTTGAATTACCTGTAGTTGAACAAGCGTCAGTACATTCTGATGCAGCCACCCACCTCAGGCATCAGTGTAATAAATGCAACATGTCAGCTTCTGTCAACTGAAAGAAAAAAAGCATCTTTGGCATAAATCAAAGCAAATTGCGCCCTTTTAAAACAGATTTTTGTTCTAATTTAACATTTTAGAGTCTATTGTGTTTTAAAAGATCAGTACAATAAAGTGATTTTTACTTGTTGCAGAACCAAAGCCAGTGTATGCACAGCCTGGTCAGCCCGACGTGGACCTGCCTGTCAGCCCGTCTGATGCCCCAGTGCCCAGTGCTGCTCATGATGACAGCATTCTCAGGTAAACTTCTTAGCTCTTAATTTTTTAAATGACTAACCCCTACTTCACACTGCAAACATCGGTGGAGCGGAGCGGCAGCAAGACGGTTTACTTGGGACTTTTGCTGCGATCCAGTACACACCGGGAGAGTCTTGGCTACGGAATGGCTTCCTCACCGTGCCCCTCACTGGATCACAAAATCCCTCGAGTTTATGCCACCCGTCACTGAACCAAAAAGAAGGAAATCACGTTTCAAATCGCTGTTTGATGTCAAATATGATGTTGGTCTTCTCCACTGCCAGGAGTAAAGCCATGAAATACACACCACTGCACATCAGGAACGATTCAGGGAGTAAATAAGCCGTTAGGTCACATGTTTTGACGTAATCTACATAGATATGAAATTGCATCTCTGCAATAGTCTTTTATTTTGAGTTACACTGAAACTGTATGTGATTTCCTGTCTAGCCCTACATGACTGCAGAAATTGTGTCCCAAAAGTGGCTAGCCTGGCCTGCCAGACTCGTCCTCTGTTTAATCCTGCACAGAGAAAGAGTCTGGCAACTCACAGGCAGAGAGGCACTAGAGGGGCGGGACTAGGAAGCTCAAAAATCAGAAAAGAGACGTAAATGCCGACTGTGCTGCGTGATGCCGTAGTTTTTTAGCTGTAGTCAAAAATGGCGTCTGGCTACGGCGCAAACATCTTTTTTTTTTAAGGAGAAGAAGAAAGGATTTTAGCGCTTCTACTTGTTGTTGTTTTAAAGACATTAAAGTCATTTAGAACAGAGGAAAGAGCCGCAGCGAACTCCGCCGCTGTCTTCGTTGTTTATGAGAAACTGAGCGTCACTGTGTGTGACGTCCGCAACACTGTAGTGTTCTACCTGTAGTCAAAAATGGCGTCTGGCGACAGCGCAAACATCTTTCTTTAGAAGAAAGGCTTTTAGCGCTTCTACTTGTTCTTTTAAAGACGTGTCCAAGTCATTTAGATCAGAGGAAAGAGCCGCAGTGAACTTCGCTTCAGTTGCCACGTTTATGAGAAACTCTGCGTTACGGTGTGTGACGTACGTCACTCAGTGCTGATTGGCTCGGTTAGAATTCTCAGGGGGTGGGGTTACTTGAATAGGACAGTTCCTAGACCCTTTCTTTGTGCAGAATTAAACAGACGAGGAGTCCGGCAGGCTAGGCTAAGAAGCGACAGGGCGCAGCGAGCTGCTTCTGGGACATGCCCGGAGATTTCCACATCACCCCCATAAGCTATAATGGATTCTAATTTGAAGCTGAGGCGTTCTGCGCCACTGATGCTTCCAGCGTGAAGTAGGGGTAACAAATGTCAACAGTGGCTGCATGAAGTGGGCTATAAACCAAGTGCACATTGTTCACGTCACTAATAATGCGCTGTGCTTTCCTGACCCTGTCTCATGGATCTGTCGGAATTATACTTTTTGTTTTTAATATTTTATTGTCTGGCATGTTTTGCTTCAATCTTCCTCACTGTGTTTTCCTGCAGACCAAGTATGAAGCTGGTCAAGTTCAAGAAGGGAGAGAGCGTTGGTCTGCGGCTAGCAGGCGGGAACGACGTGGGAATTTTTGTGGCCGGAGTTTTAGAGGACAGTCCAGCTGCCAAGGAGGGGCTGGAGGAGGGAGACCAGATTCTCAGGGTATGCTGCACTCCCTTCTCTGGAGTTGCACAGCTTCTGTTTTCTCACTGCAGATTAGGAAAATGTGTGTACAAACATGGCAGACGAAAAGATCTGAGTAGGCGCGGGAGAAAGATCAGCATCTAATGGTGTCTGTTTCAAAAGCATTAACTTTTATTTTTATATGTGTTGACGGTGAAAAGAACATCTGTTGCTGTTGTCAGAAGTCGATAAGAAACAGCATCCCACACAATTTTAGATGATAAATAATAAAACTGTGTCATTCATGGCCCTGATGGATCTTGGGAGTACAACACAATGCATTTTACTAGTTTATGAGTCATTCTGAAGCTCTGGCTTGTGTCAGAACTCTTTTTGGTTCCAGTGTGAAGACACAATAGTTCTTCTGACTCCAGAACAGTTGACTGACTGTCTGACTGAACACTAGAATAACTTTGTTGATGGGCTGACGGAAACCACCTTTATGTCAGCGTTCGATCCAGTCGTGCGTTTCTGCTGCAGTGCTCGGAGGCTGAATAGTTAATTCTGTTAATCTAATAAACATCAAGTTTTTGTCATTATCTTGCTATTGCATCATATATTCCTCCAATCAGTGTAATGGTCATGACCGTGTGCTTCGTCGACGGCACAAACACATCTTTGAGACTTCCAGGACATTGTTTTCCATCCTTAGGTGGTTTCCCTTTGGTCACGGTGTGCTAGCAGAGATAAAGAAGCCAGGCCTTTCTGTTTCTCAGAAGGATAAAGGTGCCTTTTTGAGGTTCAGTGACCCAGGCCATGTGTTTCTGATTCTCCTGCTGCACTTCAAGCAGAGTCAATAAACAGCAGTTATTGTGTTTAGTACAGCAGCAGGAGACCAGTCCAGAAGTAATACTCTAAGCTGCTTCTAGTGAGGCGTTTCACTTTTTGAACGACAAGAAGTCAAGTTTCCCAAAAATAGTTTAAAATGGCATTAAAATCCATCATCCGATTGCATTTTTAAAAATCATTTAAAAGTGGTTTAATCCGGATCAAAGTGAAATGATTTTCTTTTGTATTTGTAGGTGAATAATGTGGACTTTGCAAATATCATCAGAGAAGAAGCGGTCTTGTTTTTGTTGGATCTTCCAAAAGGAGATGTTGTTACCATTCTGGCTCAGAAAAAGAAGGACGGTGAGTCTTTAGTCTCCTGTGGTGTAGCAGCGATTCTCCAAATAACCTGTTACGTCCTCCTATCGTTTCAGTCTATCGGAAGATAGTTGAATCAGATGTGGGTGACTCTTTTTACATTCGGACACACTTTGAATATGAGAAAGAGTCTCCATATGGACTGAGCTTCAACAAGGGGGAGGTGTTCCGTGTGGTAGACACGCTTTACAACGGTAAACTAGGCTCATGGCTCGCCATCCGCATCGGCAAGAACCACCAGGAAGTGGAAAGAGGCATCATCCCAAACAAGAACAGGTGAAAGATGTTTTGTCACACCTTTTAATACTTGCACAGCTCGTCCCAGGGCGTAATGAGTGAAGGAAAAGGAAATAAGCTTTGTTATAGTGGTGAAAGTAGAATGAGACAGTTTAGGTGGAGATTTTATGCCCCTCATTTAAATATATGTGGGTGTGTGAGTCGACATTTAAACATTCTGTTTGTGGTGAAACTTTTTAGATTAGGTTAGATGTTTTATATCATGCTTCAACAGCACATACTTGCAACTGTCTCTTCAATATCATATCTGCCAAAAATAATCCATGTTTCATTTAATATTTTTAAAGCATCTGTGAAAAAAGCCTTGAATTCCTTGAGCACACTTACCTCTTATCCATGGTGCTTTCAGTCATTTAAATTGTAGATTTTATTGATCGATTGTATGTGCAGTAATTTAATCACATAAATTATTGGAAGCTGATTCTTCAAAGATGCCTTTTTTTAATTCTTCATGTCCAGATTAGCAAAGTGGGAAATTCCCTTAGGTTTATCATTTTTATACTGTTTATGAGTTTCAATTTCTTAGTCATTCAAGAAAAAATGACATTTTGAGTTGGTTTGCAGATGTTAAAACGTTCTTTTATTTTTGCTACAGGTAACAACAACATGGTAGCTTCAGCATGTTGTACCAAATGAACCATAATTCAAACCATTTAACCTTGTGCCTACTCTTTCCTGGCCAGAGCTGAACAGCTGTCCAGTGTGCAGTACACCCTTCCAAAAACACCTGGGGGGGACAGGGCCGACTTCTGGAGATTCAGAGGTTTGCGAAGTTCCAAGAGAAATTTACGGAAAAGCAGGGATGACTTGTCGGCCCAGCCTGTTCAGACCAAATTCCCTGCCTACGAGAGGGTTGTGCTGCGTGAAGGTAAGTACAGTAGCAATAATACATTATTTTATAAAGCATTGTTGTTTTTATTCACTCACTTCAGTATGTACCGTATTTTCTGGAGTATAAGTCGCACCAGCCATAAAATGTATAATGAAGAAGAAAAAACATATACAAGTTGCATTTTGGGGAGAAATTTTATTATTTTTCTTACAAAATCTGAGACCAAGCGTTTCATATTGCTAGACAAGTACCGGTAACAATAACAGAATAAATAACGCGGGCGCCGCAGCGCGCCACGGTCTCCAGCAGAGGATGGCGGTGTTTGAAACCCTCCCAGTGGGGCAGGAGAGCTCATCCCTTGTCCGGAGCCGGCCCGCAGCAGCGCGGTATAGCCTACATAATTTGGTATATAAGTCGCTCCGGAGTATAAGTCGCAGGACCGGCCAGACTATCAAAAATAGTGCGAATTATAGTCCGGAAAATACGGTATATATATATTTTTTTTGTTTTTTTGTTTTTTTCTTCTTGGGCTGATTTGTACTTGAAGTTATTGTGCCTGGATAGTTCTTTCTTTAGACTTTGAACATAAACAGCCATTCAATGTGTTTACATGTGCATCTACATCGAGCAATGGCAAGAATCGAGCTAATGCCTTCACCAGAATGGGAACCTTTGTCTTAGTTTACATGTTTGTTAGAAAATCAAATTATCGAATGAAGTTTGTTTGAATCCATATTCGCCCTTTCATGTTAGCATTTTCATGTTAACCTATAGCGTCACACAAATATTAAAGGCTGGTGGGAGAGAAGCAGATGAAGTAAAAGCAGGATGTGCACAATGATATAAGGAATGGATACAAACAGCGCTGCAGCTCAGTGTGTTTGGTACATACTGGTGGTGTTAGTCGGAGGGACCGGTGGTGTCAGTGTTCGGCAAGCCTTGCCTCTGTCAGTGCACCCCAGGGAAGCTGTGGCTACGTTGCAGCTCATCACCAGTGTGTGAATGGGTGGATGACTGTGAAGTGCCTTGGGGGGTGTAGAACCCTAAGAAGGCGCTATATACAAATACAGACAATTTACCTTGCGCCTTTCCCTCACAGAGCTGATGGAGAAGCATAGATTAGGCAGTACACGTCAGATTCACGCAGTTTTGTGGCGATGACATCATCAGAAGACCTCTCCCACGGTATCACCACTTCCTAAAGCGAGAATGCCCAGGCCGGTCATAGCGAAGCTGGGATGTGGGTTACATCCAGAGAAATGTGGTTATTTACCCCCACCCCACCCTATATAGCTACCTCAGTTCTGTTGGACGTCAGTAGGGCTAAAGCAATCATTTGGTTTTCGGACATGAAAATGCGCTGACTGATTTATGTTGCTTGTTCGCTCTTACTGACACGGCGTCCTTTGATTACAGCTGGGTTCCTGAGGCCTGTGGTCATCTTTGGGCCGATTGCAGATGTGGCCCGATCTAAATTAGCCAGAGAGGAGCCAGACATTTTTGAACAAGCAAGTAAGTAAGGACACACTGTTCAGTTTCTTTATGTTTCCTGAGGTATTTTTCTGTGTCTCGTGGACCGAGACCAGAGTGTCAGCATCTAGCTCACAAGCTGAAATACGATGAGCAAACTGCTGTGTTCTTCACATACTACTGATGTTCTCTTTGAGTCAGCTGTAGTGTTTAGTAAAAGTTCTGTTCTAGCCTTCTAAGATTTGATGTTAGGGTTGGTTATGTTGGTGGTTATTATAGCAGTTACTGCTTCCTGTGAAAAGAAACATCCATGAGTGTCCATCAGTTCCTTCTTCACGAGATCGGCTTCAGTTTAATGTCAAAATATTATCATTCATGCTAGATTTCCTCCCCGTCACTTTCCCTCACATTTAGAGTGTGTGTTGTTTTTCTCTTTCAGACACAAAGCAGACCTGAATATTCATTTTTATTTCATCGCTTATCTTAAATGTGGTGTTTTTTTTCTTTCAAAAGTTGGAGTTTTAGCTCCTTGAAGTGCACAACCACTTAGGCCTCCATAACCAAACACACACCTAGCACACACCCAGAGTGTTTCCATCGTTTATGTGCACAACTCATGTTTGTGTAACTTGTATTTTCTTTTCAGAAACACAGCAACAACAAGGAGGAGAAAGTATGTCACTTAGTGCATCAAACTTGTTTTTAATTACTCTTTTAACTGAGTGAATGACAGTTCGTCTATAAAGTGTTTTGGTGCCTAGAGTTCCCTATTCTGTTGGTGTTTAAATAATAGTCATTGCTTGGTTAATGCATTTAGGGGAATAGCACTTAATTTAATATTTTTTTAAATCATCTCATTCTTTATCACAAGGATCCTGTAACCAGAATAAGTCTTGTAAAAGATATAGGGAACATACAATAAGCTTTCATACTGACACTATGCTGGTTTTTCCACAGACATTGAGACAAATGTTTAACTTTTTCTAGGAGAAGGACAATTTATAGAATTTTATTTCACTTTAAACTCACCTGGCATTAAAGATAAATCTGTTGACTGATAAAAAGAAAGATGCATGGTGTTTACCTGGCAAAACAACAATCAACAAGCACTTTGTCTGTGGGATTGTGAATGTTTGAGTGGAAATGTGACTGATGTGAAGAATGCTTTTTACTCCCCTGCAGTCAGTGTTGTTGTGTGTCAGTATGATTTCTTGTTCATATTACAGATAACTGTAAAAATTCCCTTCATACACAGAAATCTTAGCTTACCATTAAATTCAGTGGTATTCCCCTCTTTAATAGGTTTTTTATCATATGAACATGAAAGCAACAATGCTGCATGTTGAGCTGTGCTGCATAACAGGCTGTGGAGACTGAGATGAGATTAATGGGCTTCTAACAACCCACTGTGTTCAGGAAGTAACAAATGACCAGCAGGAGTTACATGGTTGGAACTGATGACTTTTTAATTTATTTTTTAGACATTTTTCCAGCCTCTCTTGTCTTCATTTGTCCATATTTACACCCCCAGCACAAATTACAGCATAAAAAAACTTCATCTTAAAGGTTGTTGCTGCATTTGCAAACCACTAAGTGCTCCATGATAGAAAAACTCCACAGATAATTTTTCTTAAAGAGCAAGTCACCCCCAAATCAACTTTTTTTTCTGATAAACTATATAAATGCGTGTCTAATCATGCTGCAGACACGTGTAATCAATAATTTTGCACTTTAGTGCATTTTAGTTAATGCTTAAATTTTCTGCCTAAAACTGTCAGTGTTGTGCCGTTGTCAGGTAAAAACTCTGCCCTGCATTTGAATTTAAACCTGCCATCGCTATTGGCTAAGAGGTACGCTAGAATGTTAACTGGTACCATATGATGTCACAATGTTGTGGTGTGTGTGTGTGTGTGTGTGTGTGTGTGTGTGTGTGTGTGTGTGTGTGTATTTGTTAGTGGCTCCGCCCTCTCGGTCTGCTAGGCAACAGCATTTGTTGCATTTTTCAAACAGGAAGTGGGAGAGAAGTAATACTCTGGTAGGGGGTGACTTGCTCTTTAAACAATCGTTTATCAACATGTGCCCAGATAATATTTAGTGTTCAAAAATACTAAATGCAGTAAATAGTTTCAGTTCAATGTTATTTTAGAAAAACGTCTGCTATTGTCGTATAAAAATGGCTTCATTTATAAATAGACTTCCTGGTTATTACATAATCTATCATCAGGACCCCCAGTGTTTAGGTCCTAGAGCTAATTAGGGTCATGAGGTGTTGAGGTCCAGACTGAGACAACTGCCCTCTTTTTGCACCTCGTGTTTCTAGCCAGGAAATCATTGCTTGTCTCTGTTTGAGTTATAAACCCGTCTTCACATTCTCGCTCAAATCCTCGAGGCTTTACAGTGACCCCGTAGGCTCTGTAATCCCACATGACCATGCTGCTTCTGTATTTGCATAATTAATATCAACATACTCACACAACACGTTTCCTGCACTATATTTTACACTGCTACGTGCACTTACACACACACGCCCTAATCCCAACATACATAAAGTCTGTTGCATGGATTGGCTGCTGTCCTCATCTTGTTTGCATCATTTAGCTGTTTTCATAATCGTACAGTCGTCCTCTCCTATAAGGCAGTGGTGGTTATGTTTTTAACCACTCTATTTATGGGGATTGACAACTGCACGCTACAAGGATGTCTAATTGGGGCACAGCCTGTGTTTGTTGTTTTTGCTCTCTTGTGCGGATGTGAAGCCCTGATTGTCCGTTTGGCTTCTGCAGAGAGTGAACCGAGAGACGCTGGAACGGACCAGAAAAGCTCCGGCATCATCCGCCTGCATACCATCAAACAGATCATCGACAGAGTGAGTTAAACTGGTTATACAAACCCGGTATACGGGCTTACCCGTAGCTTGATAAAAATGTTTTGATGACATAAGCAGCACAATAACAGTTACAGCTCACTGCTGCCCCCTGGTGGTCTTCACTCTTCTGCACTATTCATGACCTAATCCTGGTTTGCCATTCTTTTAAGTTTCACATCAGAAAGCAATCAACCAAATTACCTGAGCTCAACAACAATATAAATGCCATGACTGTTGTTAAAGAGTAACTTAACCCCAAAATAATTTGTTTTTGCTTATAAACTGTATAATTGGGTCTTTGCAAATGCAGTCTTTCTGTTACTGTGCATTTTTTGACATGTTTGTGTAAACTTGATTAAATCTAGAATCTAGGTCTAAAAACGTCTAAGTGCTGCCCCCTGTGGCAGAACAGCGGCTACTGCATTTTAAGCGTGTGATTGGGGCTGGAACAATTTCAGGTCATTGGTACAGTCTCCTCCCACTCCCCCTCCCTCCCAGGATGGAAATTCAAGTGGTGCTCGCTGCAGAACCACAAAGGCGGAGCTGCACCAGAAGGTGGAGCTGCACCAGAGTCAGCCCCGCCCATTCCATCAGAGTCAGTCCAATTCCTTCCAGTTGTCAGACTTGATAGCATTCTGGAACCAAAGAGAGTGTTATAGCTAAAAAATGCAAGATTGAGGACGGAGGTGAGAAGTTAACTGAACAGTTTTTGTAAAGGTTCCATATAATTAAAAATCTAACTTTTGGAACTTTTAATCATGTTTTACTGTCATTTCCTCATAAGAAACACGCCAAAGCCATTTTTGGCCTCATTCATGCATTTTCCTCCCATCTCAGCTTCAATTTGGTCTTTTCCCCCGAAGCGGGTCTGGTCTTGGTTCTCAAATCTGGATATTCTGTGAATTTTGGGACAAATTATTTCTGAAATGACTTCTACTGAGACACCGCAAACAAACCATACAACCCATCTCCAAAGACACACTGAGTAGCACAATTGCATAAAACGCCACATGATTTTCATTCGATGTGGTGGTGTAGTGGTTATGGAGTGAGGTTATCATGCAGTTTTGCGCAGGTTCGCCTCCCAGTAACGGAAGCATTAGGTAGTTTACAATCCAATTTTTTCATTTCTAGCTACATTTGACAGTGCTATGTTTACAACAATTTACTGGTATACCGTTTAACATATGATGACTAATGTGTTTATTTATTTATTTATTTGGTTTTTTTAGCCAGTGTGAGTCCATTTGTGAGCAGAGTTTCAACTAAAATGCTGTTTAGGAACGACCAAATTCAAAGAACTTTTAGAGACATAAATATATGAACATAATTTGCTGAAAATAAACATTACAGCTAAAATATAAACAAATTAAATGCTTCAGTTGGATAAATAGATTGTTGCCTATCCCACCAAGAATCGAACCAGCATCAGCTGAGGGGATAGTAACATTTAGACCAAACAACCTTGCCACTGGACTACCAGAACCACTTTAATATTCTGGCATGCTGTTGTATCACACTTTTGTTAGAGCGGCTGTGGGCAGATATTCGTTAGAAGAAACCTTTTCATTTCGAGATATATTCAGGCTTTGCCATGTAGAAAGTTATATTTATCTTGTTTAATTGGAGCATAGAACATTGCATTAACGACTGTAAACTAGTAACAGCCGTAATTCATGTGGGTCAGGTTAGTTTGCGCTAAAGTTGAAAAACATAAACGGAAGTCAGTGGGCTAGGCTGAATTTGCGTGAATGGGCGGGACTGACTCTGGTGCAGCTCCACCTTATGGTGCAGCTCCGCCTTTGTGGTTCTGCAGCGAGCACCCTCTCACCCTCTCTGGCCAAGTGTGGGGAATTTCCAGAGAGGGTGCTCGCTGCAGAGCTACAAAGGCGGAGCTGCACCAGAGCCAGCCCCGCCCATTCACGCAAACTCAGCCTATTCCACTGACTTCTTCTGTTTTTGTTTTTCAACTTTATCGCAAACTAACCTGACCCACATGAATTACGGCTGTTACTAGTTTACAAATGTTAATGCTATGTTCTATGCTCCAATTAAACAAGATAAATATAACTTGCTACATGACAAAGCCTGAATATATCCCAAAATGAAAAGGTTTCTTTTAGCAAATATCTGCCCACAGCCGCTCCAACAAAAGTGTCCTATACAGCATTCAAGGCATATTGTTGTGTGGCCTCTGGTAGTCCAGTGGCAAGATCGTCTGCCTTAAGTTTTGCTTTCCCCGCTGCTGATGCTGGTTCGACTCTCGGTGGGGTCGGCAGCAATCTATTTAGCCAGCTGAAACATTTAATTTGTTTATATTTTAGTTGTAATGTTTATTTTCAGCAAAATATTTATGTCTCTAAAAGTTCTTTGAATTTGGTCATTCCTAAACAGCATTTTAGTTGAAACTCTGCTCACAAATGGACTCACACTGGCTAAATAAACAAATAAATTAAAACAAACACATTAGTCATTATACTTTAAACGGTATACCAATAAATGGTTAAAAACATAGTACTGGCAAGTGTAGCTAGAAAGGAAGAAAAAAGTGTGCGCCGCTACTGGGAGGCGAACCTGCGCAAAACTGCATGTCAACCTGCCTCCATAACCACTTCACCACTACATCTGGTATAAAGCAAGTGGCATTACATGTAATTGTGCCATCAAGTGTGTCTTTGTAGATGGGATGTATGGTTTTTCCGGCGGTGTCATTTCAGAAATAATTTGTCAGAAAATTCACAGAATATCCAGATTTGAGAACCAACACCAGACCCGCTTTGGGGGAGGAGACCAAATTGAAGCTGAGATGGGAGGAAAATGCATGAATGAGGCCAAAAATGGCTTTGGCGTGTTTCTTATGAGGAAATGACAACATAACATGGTAAAAAGTTCCAAAAGTTAGATTTTTTATTATATGAAACCTTTACAAAAACTGTACAATTAACTTCTCAACTCCGTCCTCAATCTTGCATTTTAGATGATATTGGCTATAACACCCTCTTTGCTTCCAGAATGCTATCAAGTCTGACAACTGGAAGGAATTGGGCTGACTCTGATGGAATGGGCGGGGCCGACTTTGGTGCAGTTCTACCTTTGTGGTTCTGCACCGAGCACCACTTGCTTGGCCATGCCTCTCTGTGTCTCCTGGCAACGCCCACTTTCATGGCATTTTTCAAATCTTGACCAGGGGTGGAGTTACATTTTCTGATGGTGTGCAGTCCCTCTTTAACTCATTCTCTTAACTCATTTTTTTTCTCTAATTTCCCTCTGGGATTAATAAAGTATCTTTGAATTTGAATTGAATTGAATTCAAATTTACTGCCAATGACAACTAAAGTCGTCATTTGCATTTTTTTACTGTGTGGGCATCGGAACGAGCCCTCGCACCGTGAGAACAAACATCTCAGCTCTAAAGCCGATCTTCTTCCGCATACGTCACACATCACGTGATCAGGAAGCAGAAAATTAATGTGTTAGGAGATCGTTTTGGGCCGTTCCTGTAAAAAACTGCCGATCACAATTCAACAACGGATTATGAAAGAACGGATAACGTTCGAAATGCGCAGATTCTTCCTGATGTAAGAGGTGAGTCTCCGCTTTGTTTTGGTTGTTTTGGCGTCGACATCATGCTAGAGCGCAACGTTCTGTGACTCTTAAAAAACAGTAAAAACGGTGAGAAACACTGGCAGCGAAGGCCTTTACCGATCAGGAAACGGCTGGCAGCGAATGAGTTACTAGGAATCACTCTGAACAAACCTGTTTTCATTCAGCCAAATAAAAGAACATTAACTGATTGACTGTGTATGTTTTGGGGTTTTCTTTATACAAGGACAAGCATGCAGTGCTGGACATCACTCCTAACGCAGTGGACCGTCTGAACTATGCTCAGTGGTATCCCATAGTGGTGTTTCTGAACCCAGATAGTAAGCAGGGCGTCAAGACCATGAGGACCCGCCTGTGCGCCGAGTCCAGGAAGAGTGCGAGAAAGCTATATGAACGAGCCCTGAAACTAAGAAAGAACAACCACCACCTCTTCACCAGTGAGTTCATCCAGGGTTTGAACTGAAGGCGTTCCCCACATGGGAGGTATTCTGACTTATTCAGCCCTTTTAGGATTGGAATCTTGAATCCATTGGGTTAAGTTAAAGCAATAACATTGATTAATTTTTTTGTACTTTACTAACAACAAATTGTATAATTAAATTAAATTATATTAATTCTTGAAAATGGCTGAGAAACAGTCAAGAGGCTTTATCTTTAACCTCCAGTGGTTCTGTGGAGACCATCAGGTTTATGCTCTGTTGGTTTCAGACGGAAGTACTGGATGGTTTTACCTCCTGTTGAACACTACATGACAACACTACTGACTTTATAGAGGGCTGGATTGGATTTAGAGGCTTTAGCCATCATTTTACAGTTAGCTACAAAATGTGTTCAAAATTATATTGAGAAAGAGAAACTTTGAGCATCACATAAATATCTGTACAGCTCAGTGAGACTGGGTTATAATTCCCATTAATACATTTGTGTAGCGTGCCTAAACATTTGTGACAGTTTTCAATTGAATTTCTTAAAAAGGCAGATCCTGAGTGTATCTGAGCAACACTTTGTGGGTGTATTTAACCAGTCCTAACTGTTATTATTAGGTAGGTAAATTCATGATTATTTTATTTTGTTTTCTGTTCTCTGTGCATCCAGCCACTATTAACTTGAACAGCATGAATGACGGCTGGTTCGGAGCACTGAAAGAAACGATCCAGCAGCAACAGAACCAGCTGGTGTGGGTTTCAGAAGGAAAGGTAGGACATGAACAAGCACAAAAATTAAAGCAACAGTTTAGATTCTCCTTTGGTTTGATCTTTTCTCCTCCTTTTTGTCCTTTAGGCTGATGGGGCAGGTGACGATGACCTGGACATCCATGACGACCGCCTGTCCTACCTGTCGGCGCCGGGTAGCGAGTATTCCATGTACAGCACCGACAGCCGCCACACCTCGGACTACGAGGACACGGACACGGAAGGAGGAGCGTACACCGACCAGGAGCTGGACGAAACACTAAACGACGACGTGGGTCCGCCTACGGAGCCCGCCATCACCCGCTCCTCTGAGCCCGTCCGCGAAGACACGCCTGTCATCCAGGAGCCTCCAGGCTACGCTGCCTACCCACACTCACTGCAGCCGGACCCCTTGAACCACATCGACCCGGCTGGGTTCAAGGCACCAGCGCAGCAGCAGGTAGCGTTTCTGAGAGCTGCACGCCTCCCCTGTTGTCTGGAGGACGTGGTGTGCGTTAGAAGGGTTTTCTGGAGGCGTTATTGAAGCCGCTTCTTTCTTTTTACGCTTATTCTGTCTGATGTTCTGAAATAATATCAGTGAGAAAGTGAAAACTAATGTGGTCAGGCATTTATCTTAACATATATGAATGATAAATATTATAATATATACAGAGATTTATTACAGTGTCTATTTTATCTATTTACTTCTATGCTAATTGGTGTTTGTTGGTGTATTTTTTATTTACTGTAGAAAAAGAGAAACACGTTTCACTGTGCTGTTGTGTAACCACGAGTTGTCTTAGAGGTCCGATTGTCCCTGATGTCACTGGGAGAGAAAAAAAAACGTGTTTGTTTCTAAGTGTCTGTACCAGTAGTCACCTTTGTGCACTTTGTTCTACCTATTATCGGGACATTACGACACCAGAAAGTATTATGTGCATGAATGAAATGCCAGTGTTACTTCAGTATACTTCTGAAATGTATTAAATAATACTCATTAGGCGGTTGTGGAACCAGTATCAAAACGTTTGTCCTCTGGTGTGTTAACGCTCATGAAAAAGGGGAAAGAACAATCTACTGTACTGTAACGATAGCATTAAAATCAAATTTGCGTTCTCTAACACTGACAACTTGTCCTGTTGCTAATTCCTAACATTCAAAGGCCTCTGGCCTATTTACAGAGGGGTTGTTTTGTATCGGATTAGGTTATGGGGTTGTAGAGGGGCCGAGGTGGTGGCTGCACTTGTTTAAACTGCACCCTGGTGTATCAGCACATGTTATTAAACATTTCTGAACCACTTCACAGAAAGCAGAGGCTGCTGTCACACCTAGCATCTCCCAGCAGGCTGAGCCCCTGGCTGAGGCAGCGCCCCCTGCTGGCGACGTTACTGTAAAAACTGTAGAGGCTCTGAGGCCTGATGATGCTCCTGCAGCCCCTTACAACAGGCCAAGCCCCAACCCAGAGGCTGGCTCTCTTAGGAGGCCCACCCCTGAGCTAGCCCCTAAGAGCATCACACCAGAACCTCTACAGTCTGGACTGGCCGGTTCGGATCCAAAGGTATCCATCTGACCGTCGCTGGACGCTTCGCGACCTGGCTCGGCTCCGCTCAGCTCGGTCTGACCCGGCTGATCTTTGTTGCTGCTGCCTGTCTACCTACTTCTGCTACTATGCTTCTCTTTCTGTCTTTCTGACCTGCATGTCTGCTGATTTAAGTGCTGCCCAGGAGAGATTAGGATGTGTGTGTGTGTGTGTGTGTGTGTGTGCGTGCGTGCGTGTGTGTGCAAGCAACAAATAGGTAAACAACAGTGAGTTTGGATTGTGTTAATTTGCTTACATGTCTGAGAGTCGTGGAAATCCAGCAGCGCTCACTGTTGCTTATCTTTGCATGGCTACAACATGTTTCCCTCCTTCTCTGTTAACGACGACAACTTAATGTGTTCATGCTGTGTTTATAAATGTAGGCTGAATTAATAATGTTGTAAAAGTAGCCATCGACTCTCCAGACATATATGCATGTAGCTGCAGACGTCCTAAATGGCAGAGGTCATCTTTAAGATGTGACTGGGCAGTTTATGGTTACTTCTCTCCTGTAAAGACTGAACGTGTCCTCCTCTATTTTTTTCTTCCTTTGGTATAAAATATTAGGGCTGAACGATCTCGTTTTTGGACCGAAATTGCGATTTCAAACAGCACGATCACGTGACCGTCGAAGCTGCGGTTTTAGCGGTTTTGACTGAACCAGGATCAGTTGTGTAACTTTTTTTTTTTTTTTTTACATCTGGGGCTTTCCCCCTGTGTTATGGCGGCAGCAAAAGCCAGTGCGGGGGAGGGGGGTGGGGTGTACCGTCCAGAGGCGAGCCCAACTCCACAGCTGCCAGAGCTGCATGTTCAGGTTATTTTCCCTGTTTTATGTTCCCACACGCAGCGCTGCTAGAGCCAATAATAATGGCACCGTAGGTGAGCCCGGGACAGAGAGAGAACGTAGTTGAGCAAGGGAGAGAGGGACTCCTCCCACATCGGAGCAAGTTCAGGCTGATTTCCAAAGCTTGGTTTATGCTTCATCAGCGCAAGTGGGGAGTCGCGCACTTTAGTTGACTTGAAAGCTCAACTTCTCTTTAAAAAATTGGTTTGAATGTTTCTGACGGCACACGTTAGTTCAAACAAGCTAAGGTGTCAGAATGCGTGCGTCTCTCACAGAACGGACGTTTTAGTGCGGAAAAACTATCGGACGGCTTTGAAAAACGTACAGCCAGCCTGCCACGGTAATGCAGGGACAACTGTGTTATTTGATGCATTTAAAACAGATTTCCTCCATGCATTTTTGGAGTAGAACATGTTTTTATAAAGCTCCTCTCTAGATAAAAACCACAAGCACAAGTTGCTTCACAAACACATAAAAAAAGAACATAATGTGAGAAAAAATGAACAGCTTTAACTGTTTTTATTGTATGATTAAATAGTAAATATTAATGTGAATGATTGGTTGTACTAGATTAGAATCTAGACCATCTTTTCACTTAATCTACAGGATGCCTTGGCAGGCTAATGTTAGACCTTTGTTTGCAGAAAATCGTGAATTGAACCGAAATCGCAATTTCTGCTAGAAAAATTGCAATTCAGTCTTTTCCTAAAATCGTTCAGCCCTATTAAATATCATTGTGGGTGCTTATGTTTCTTTACAGTTTCACCAAGACGTGGGTATCTTTGCTGATGTGTGTATGCACTTGCACACGTGCACGTGGTAAAATGAGAAAACTAATCGTTTATGTGCAATTTCTCTTTGCTTAAAAGAGAACGATCGGTGATGGAGAAGGCATCCCACTGTTTTGGTGTAGCTTTAAAATATTTTGAATCTTTCTTTGTTTCCTTTCAGTGAATAAGTCGTATCCTGTGTTAGTTTTTTGGGGGGTGCATCTCTTGGCTGTGCTGCGATTTCCAGTTGGTCTGAAATACATTGTGACCAGTAACTCTCCCCTCTCAGTGTTTCTATTTCAGGTCTTTCCCTTCCTGTTTTCTCTTCTGTGATTAATTTTAAGGACGCGTTGCGATGTTTGACGCTTTAACTTTTTATTTTGTTAAATATTCTTTATGTTGTGCAGCAAATCACACAAAGTTTGTAATCTTTCTTTGTTCTGCATTTGTTTGCCAGATGTTTCAGAAGGATCCATACAGCATGGACAACACGGGGAGAATCAGCAACAGCATGAAGCCGGTGAATTACAGCGCCCAGCAGCCATACAGAGATTACGACCATCCGCCCAGTCGGTATGATGTCGGCAGCAGTGGAGGTGGTTTTCCAGAACCAAAGTACCGGAACAATGATCACATCCCGCTCTATGAGAACAGCGTGCCTCACTATGACCAGCAGCAGTGGAACCCCTACAGCCAGCCTCACTCGACTGCCAATGCCCAGGCCTATGACCCCCGTCTGCCTTACAGTGACGGTCCTGATGCACAGTACACCCCCCCTCTGCGCTTTGACGAGCCCCCACCTCAGCAAGGGTTTGATGGGCGGCCTCGTTACGGTAAACCGACGGGTCCAGGACCTGTTCGTTATGACGACCTTCCAGGTCTTGCATTAGGGACTGATCTGCGTTACGACCCAGATTCTCACCTGGGCCCGTACCCCTCAGCTGTTCAGCGACCTGCCTATAACCAGGGACCAGGGTCGCACCTGAGGGGCTACAAGCCTCAGCAGTACGACCCTGCTCCGGGAAACTTTGAAACCAGCCTCACACCTCCACCTAAAGCAGATGCCCCTTCGCCTTCGCCTGTGGAGACACTGAGGCCTGTTCCTGTCAGAGATGAGCCTCCGGAGGAAGACCCCGCCATGCGGCCTCAGTCGGTCCTGACGAGGGTCAAGATGTTTGAGAACAAACGTTCTGTTTCCATGGACCGAGCCAGAGATGCAGGGGACTCTTCTATGAACAAGGTCCACTGTTAAACTTGAATAATAAGTTGAATGCAGCCAGAGATGATGTAAAAGGGGAGAGCATTAACAAGTTTTCCATTGATCGTTTTAGGCAGGTGATTTACCTCTGAAACCAGGTGGAGTGATCCCTAAAGCAAATTCTTTAAGCAACCTTGATCAAGAGAAGACCTTTAGGTGAGTTGCTTTTTTTTTTTTTGTAAAGTCTTGTTTTTCTTGGTATTTATTTATTTGCTAGTTTGTCATTTTACATGTTGAAACGTTTGTTTTACGTTCGTCCTCTTCACTGCTGCACCAATTCAGAGCCCCAGAGCCTCAGAAGCCACAGCCCAAGGTAGCTGATGACATTGTGCGCTCCAACCATTACGATCCTGAAGAGGATGAGGACTACTACAGGAAACAGCTGTCTTACTTTGACAGACTTCAGGCTGGCCCTAACAAGCCCCAAGCACAAACGGCCCACGGCTACCCCAGGTACCCTCTGACCCTCCTGTAACCTAAAGACGTGTTTGTGTTCCATGTCTCTGGCTTTCAATCAGGCCAAGTGTGTGAGGCGATGTGTAAAAGAGCTTCTGTTATTTTATTACCAAGTCGTTTCTAGTTTGAGGCTCACATTTGTGTTCTCGGCTGTGTGATTTAGGACGGAGTCCATAGAGAAACCGAGTCCACTGGAGAAAACGTATGAACCAGTTCCCCAGGTGACTCCATCACTGTCACCATCCACACTGCCTAAACCAGCATCTGAAGGTAGAGCTTACCGTTGCCTCTCTTCTTGTTTGAAATTCTGATTAAACTGTATTTTGAACAGAGCTTCTCTACTGACCTACTTGACTCCTCCACAGCTAAGCCTCATGCCCGAGAGAACACTGTCCAGACCAGCTTCCTGCCTCAGAAAAGTTTCCCTGAGAAGTCTCCGGTCAACGGGACAAGCGAACAGCCTCCAAAGACTAACCCTAGCTCTGGAGCGCCATCTACCTACAACCGCTTTGTTCCCAAGCCCTTCACCACGTCTGCCAAACCTTTTGCCCGCATGTTTGACAGTCCTAAGTTCAACCACAACCTTCTGCCCAATGATAAATCTGACAGCGCTCCAAAGGTAATGCCTACCCACTTTTCCTTCCAGTGTTGTTTTTAGATTACATCGAATTCTTTTATGTGATCAGACCCACAGCTCCAGTCCGGTGAAGCCTCAGATACTCCCGCAGCCTCAGAACATAGACCATGATAGCGGTGTAGACACCTTCAGCCGCACTGTGGACAGTCGCCCCAAAAGCCAACAGAACAACATCAATGCTGTGCCCAAGGCCATCCCTGTGAGGTAAACCCCCCCCCCCCCCCCCCCCCAAGTCTAGATTAAACCAGGTTTAATAAGTAGAGAGAATCACAGTGAATGCATCTGTCTGCCAGTCCCAGTGCCCTGGATGAGGATGACGATGAGGATGAGGGCCACACTGTGGTTGCAACAGCTCGCGGTATCTTCAACTCCAACGGTGGGGTTCTGAGCTCCATCGAGACGGGCGTCAGCATCATTATCCCACAGGGGGCCATCCCCGACAGTGTAGAGCAGGAGATCTACTTTAAGGTGTGCCGAGACAACAGCATCCTGCCGCCGCTTGACAAGGAGAAAGGTAACTCATCAGACTTGGTGCCATCTTTATCTTTTTATCTGCTTCTGTTGTGTTTTTAAAAACATAGCACTTGGTAGTAGCTTAAGTTTCACTTTAAGTACTACTTTACCAAGTTTGGGCGACTTCACAGTAGTTTTTCTTACAAGCATCACCTCTTTGTAGCATACCCTCTACCTGATGAAGAAGAGTTGAGACGTACGGCACGAGTTGCCGTACCACAGCTCAGGTGTGTGGTCCAGGTGCCAACTTAATAGTATGAATGTAATTCTAACTGCTGATGACAGAAGGTGCTGGCGTCTCTTTATTTGTGCGATGATGAGGTCGGTACAGCAGCTGTATGTGTGAGTGGGAGATAACCAGATCTTGTCACAGTGACGTAGAACAGCTGAATGAACAACCAGCAGCTGGAGGAGGAGTAATGAGCACTTAATGTCTCACGGAGCGCTTCGGTGGCGTATATTTCTGGTAAAATATGTTGAGGTGGTGTAAAAATGGTTCTTATAAATTCTGTCTTTTTGGAATTTAAGTTATCGGAAATCTCATCTAGTGTTAAAGGTTTGTTAAAGCGTCATGTTTTATCCAGTAAAAAGTGTGATTAGGTTCTGCATCAGGATGGTGTGAGCTGGAAATGCTGCTTTGTGGTGCTAAGCCAGGGGCCCACCGGAGGCGGACGGGCCGCATCGCACCATCGTTTTAAATAGAAGCCATTGTAGTTGATGAGAGTGGACAGACAGGGAGCGCGGCGCCGCGTCTCAGAAGCGCTGCGCTGAGGAAAGGCGCCAGTTCTATCTCAAGCTGTTTACAGCATTGTGGAGTACTTCACAACAGACATTACAACGCAGAACAGCTTTACGGCACAAACCCAGCCGCAGTTTTGACAACTTTAAAGTACTATTGATCTTAAAATATTCTAATAAATAGTGTACTTACCCACTGTTAATGAATTTAGTCTAACAAAACATGACGGCAAGTCTGATCACGTATAAACAATAGTCACTTCCCTCTTCCTGTTCTCAAGTCCCTTGAAACTTTCCTTGAAGCGCTCAGCGGCGCGTCCTGTGTGACCACTTGACTTCTCAAAATCTCTGTGTGCCCCAGGCTTTACTGTATATGTTACTATATGCGGCGTAACCTTTTGCATAAAAAGGAAATGCAAAATTTACTTTCATCTAAGAACATAACTTAGCTGCAGCTGCAGTCCAGGCTTTGTGACTCGGCCCCACATTTTTGAAAGGGTTTTGTTTCACAGTCCTCTCCAGGGTGCACTTATCCCTACTGCTTGTACACTTTGTCCTTCCCTCTGCCTTATTTTTAAATACTTTTCTTGAGCCAGTATGTGCTAAAATGACCCTTTACAGAGGTAATGAAGTGTCAGTCAGACCCCCACGCCCTCTGTTCCCAGAATATCAAACTTGCAACTTCTGAGTGTCGGTCCAGTCTTAGTAAAAGTGAAGCTGACATACCTGGCTCTGCAGTCTGCTTCCAGCATGTTTACGATTGTGACCACAGCTGATTTGTTGGATTTGATGATGAAAAGCTCCTGTAGAAAATAACAAAGGCTGAGCAGACATTAGATTAAGATGTTTGTTGGGGTTATTAGGAGCGAACAATTAGTAAGCTTCAACTTACTTTTGGATTCTTCAATAAATTCTGTAAATATGGGAATATTTACTGAGTTATTAATTAATTAAGATACAATTAAGTATATACGGGGCACCATTCCCCTTCAACCGGGGAAAAATTGAATCCAAAACTCTTATCAGTCTTTCTTGAAGTTCGTAGAATCCTCGGAGCAGAGATTTCTAGTCAACACAAGAAGTCGCTTGAGGCAAAAATCTGAATTTTATAACATTTAATTAACAATTTGTCGAATGAATTAACAGTGAAATAAATGAATAATAACCATGTGATATAATAAGATGGATGTGTTTGCGTGTGATGGAGGATGTATGAATGGGGTCCTCCGTTCTCACAAAGGAGTGGTGTGTGTGTGCGTGTGTATGGATTCAAAATGGAGTCTTGAATATAAGATGGCTGACCCCTTTTGTCTGGCTAAAGTGTGGGTGGCAACTTGCACTTTAACTTCCAAAGCACTTAGAATCAGAAGTAACTTAACCTTAAATCACTCAAAACATTTCAAAGGATCATGAAACAACACAAAAGATTAATCACAAATTAATATCTTTTAGTTTAACCACGTGGCCAAGCAGAAAACATTTAAAGATACCAAACAATGATAAATAAGCAGTTTATTCTTTCAAAATGACCCGACGGACGTATTTGGGAACGAAAGAGGAACACACGAAGCTACTTTTAAGCAATAGCCCGGTTTTATTGCTTATTCTGGACTATAGAGGAAACGGAAGGAGAAAAGAAGGAGAGAGAAAGAGATGAATTGAGTTTCTGATCACCAGAACAGTGAAGCGTCCCTCACTGTTTTGATTTGACGGTTCTCCGTGTTTCTCCGCAGTTTGGCGTCGTCCGTCGGTTTGATGGCTTTCTCCGTTGTTTTGGCCCACGAGTGTTTCTCAGCTGGGCTGGACACAGAGCAAAGTTCCTTTTGTGCTGAGTTTGACAACTTACAGCGTCTCTGAGAGCTGGATGGAGCTCCGCTCGTTCCCAGTCAGGTCCTGATGGGCTTGTAGCTTAGCATTCCAGCGGTTCTGTGTTCGATCTGCTCCAGCAGTCAGCCTCCCGCTGGCTCACGTTGATCAGAGCAGCAGCAACAGCGTGTCCTTCACAGCCAGTGAACTGGGCTAAAGAACGGAGTTTCTTTGTCTTTGCTGAAGATTTATGGTCTTAGTTCGCGGGAAAAGCTCCACGGCCTCCCGCACATGCGCAGAACGTGTTTCTGGTATTAGGCGGTGACATCATCCCAATGCTTCCGTCTGCAAAGCATCATGGGAAATGAAGTTTCTTGGCGCTGATGTGATTATTTGCTTTTCAGAGCAATTTAAGCACAGTCATTTTGGAGAAAATCACTGCATAGTAATTTCCTCATGAGGTCAGACCCTCAACATGTTAATAAGACGAACGTGCCACGAGGATATGTTTCACCTTTGATTTCACTAACGGAACACTAAGGGGTGCTCAAAGCGAGCTAAAACTGCCCAGTGTCCCTTTAATGTGCTTGGACACAGCTCTGTGACCCGGCAGCCTCTTTAGCAAGGACCTTTTGTGTCTTGCCCATCTTGTGCAAGGTGTCAGTGGTTGTCTTTTGGACAACTGTCAAGTCAGCAGTCGTCCCCATGATTGTGTAGCCTACAGAACTAGACTGACCCCTTCTTTCCACCGGAGCCGCCAGCAGCACGTTACTACAGCAGCACGTCATAGCTGCTGACAGGAACCGCTGTGTTCAACAGAACCTTTTCCACCGGAGCCGTCAGCAGCGTGAGTCGGCCGCGTCTCAGGAGCAGCATGTCGCGGCCTTTACGCGCCGGTTCTATTTTCTACGCGCGACGCCTCTGAAACGGGTCAAGTTCAACATTTTTGGGGAAGGAAAGACAGGAAATCGGACGTGGAAACGGAGCGAAGCTCCCAAGATTTTCAGAATAAAGAACGTACTGCCTTCCGGTTGCTTTACTTTAAAAAAGGTTACTAACTGTGCAGCCCCGTGAGAAGTTATCACCTAGCTAGCGGTCTCCTTTGTTTTTCAGGTCCGTATTGGCGATTATAAAACGGACAGAACATAAAACACAAACCATGTTGTAGTTTTCTCCTGCTTGTTGTTGTGTTTACTGACGAAGTCACTCGTGTGACTTCGTGCTCTGTCGGTGACAGCTGCTCCCCTGCTGCTTCGCGTCTCGTGGGAAGGGCCAAGCAGCAGCTTACGCGAGCAAGACGTGCTGCTGCAGTAACGTGCTGCTGACGGCTCCGGTGGAAAGAAGGGGTTAGAGACCATTTCAAGGCTTTTGCAGGTGTTTTGCATTAATTAGCTGATTAGAGTGTGGCACCAGTGGTCTTCAATATTGAACCTTTTCACAATAATCTAATATTCTGAGAAACTGAAATTGGGATTTTCATTAGTTGTCAGTTATAACCATCAAAATTAAAGACTTAAGCATTGGAAATGCATTTAATCTAACATGCAAGTTTCACTTTTTGAATGGAATTACCAAAATTAATCAATTTTGTCATGATATTCTAATTTTATAACCAGCACCTGCAAATGAAAGAAGTTGAGAAAAAATAACTGAAATTCTGTTTGTGTTTACAGGAGAGACTTTGCTCAGCCCTCTGGTGATGTGTGGACCTCATGGACTCAAGTTTTTGAAGCCCGTGGAGCTCCGCCTACCTCACTGTGCGTCTATGACCCCTGATGGTTGGTCTTTTGCTCTAAAATCCTCCGACTCCTCGTCGGGTACGCTTTGCTCTCTGCTCTCCTGGGGTCGTTTGGGCTGGCTGTGTGACAAATGAAGGGTTTTGGGTCACTGTTAAATCAGCTTTTATCTCCAATCTTGATTATAATTTTTTTTAAATCAAAGATCAAGTATTTAGAAATTCCATGGTGTCTGAGAATCAAGCTGGGGATAAAATCTGCCTTTTGATCACATTTAGCCTCTTTGTCTCCATTATTTATGCTGATTAACTCACCAACACAATCTCATTTGCTGTATCACTGGTTTTCCATTGGAAGCTCAACTATTCTAACTTTCCAACGCAGCATTTCTCTCTAACTCATTTCAGTCATCTTCCTCACACGCGTTCAGCTTGGCTGCACTTTGATGCGATCAGGTGATGTGGTGCATGCTTTTCTACTCTGGATGATTTTCTCACAGAGCCACCCAAATCCAGACCTGGAAGAACAATCGGCTCTTTACGGATCTTCTGAAAAGCAGGACAAGCTCATCATCCAACATAAGATCTAGGAGTTATACTAAAAGGTCTTCTATTTTATGTCAGAATGTAGGGCTCTATTTTTAACTGCAGCATTGCTTTGTTATCAGCTTCTCGGGTCTCGCCTCAGTTGCATTTCAAAGATCAGAAAGTGACAGAAAAGATGTAAATAGACGAACCAAACGTGTTTCTGACTCCGGGAGGAAGCAAATCTCTAAAAATAATTCTTTCTCTATCAAGAAAGTTTTTAGAAGATTAATCAAAAGTATCTGCTTATAACTTAAGTGGCATGGTTTGAAATTGTCAAGCGCTTAACTGATCAACAAAATGTTAAAAATGAACCTTATAGTTTAGGTTTGTGTTCCACTATAATGAATTTATACTAAACTACAGTTTAAGCCGTAAGGAAATAACTCTGAAGGTCAACTTGAGTAAAACAAAGAACGTATAAAAGCTAAAACCAGGAAGTCGTTCCGTCTGATTCTTTGTCCTCAGCAGCAGTGGTTATTTTGGCAGTGGTCAGGATTAGCTGTTAATTAGCCTCATTTTAAGGATGAGATTTAGGGGCCTGAAAGAAAATTCAGCTCACTTCGTCGTCCTGCAGAATTGTGGGAGGATTACTGGGCAGCATCATAATCCCCTTATTGTGAAGCCAGACCACTCTCTGGACTCATCTTTCTCCCTTTTGTGGTTTTCTTCTCACTTTTCTTCCTTTCTGCTTATTTTGTTTTTATTTCAGCTTCTTTTCAAGTCCTTCTGCCCCTCTTTCATCTCCCTTTCTCTTCTGCACCGTCTGTTACCTAACTAAAAACCAGTGTGATACAGTTTAGCCCCAACACAATGCTAGATTCATTCCCACATGAAGTCATTCTGACCCAGACACCACTTAAAGGTGCAGTATGTAAGAATAGAGTGAGAATTTTTATAGTGCGAAAATCCCAAAAGAGTAATGTTTCAGTCATTTTGGAAGGAAGGTTATACTGAAACATTTCATATCCAGCTGGCTGTGGGGATTGTCAGTTTTCCCCTTTCAAAGCAAAGGAAGGAGGGACGTAGCTACCGTTTACCATCAGTGAGCGTGGGGTTGCCGTGTCTCCTGCGAGCTAATACTGCAGCTTTAATAATTGCAATTTGACAACAACCTGCAAAAATCTACAGAGTTGTTAAAGGGGCTGCAGTAACCAAATTGTACCATGGGATGTCATTTTTACTTAATTTCTCCATAATGCGCCTTTAAATGACTAAACAACTGAAAACATGTAAAGTTGCAATAAGTGATGTTTAGCTTGTGTGTCGGACTCATGATCCCCCTGGCTTGTGATGCATTTATCTGCTGATATTTTATTTTGAATATGTTGGTAGTTTTACACCAGAAATAAGATTATTTTTTCTTATTTTTGCTTACAAATGGAAAAAGGTATTTTAAATTGGGGCTGAACGATCTATTGTTTCTGATCAAAATTGCGATTTCAAACAGCGTAATCACACGACCGTCAAAGCTCCGCAGGATCTGTCATGTCAGCCTGAACACATCAGAGTTTTGAACATGTTTGTAGCATTGGGGGGGGGGGGGGGGGGGGGGTTTACTCTTAACTTGTGAATAAGGTGCTGAACGTCAATTAGAAGAAAATCATGAATTACATTGACATTTCAATTCCTGGCAAAATAATAATCACAATTCAATCTTTTTCTAAAAGTGTTAAGCCCTACATTAAAACTTTTAGTCATCCTGCTCAAAGGTGACAGTCAGTGGCTGCTGCTGAATTTATTTTTATATTTTTTTAAGTGGGGCGCATTTCTGCTCTTCAGTTTTCAGATGTGCCAACCATATATCACCACTAGGGGACACCAAATTAACATTCTTATGTGTCACACAACTTGAACCCGACCGACCCGGTACCAGGTACACAAGCACTTCCAGCAACAAAGTTGTTCCAAAAACATGCTTGATATATGCAAACTGCACACGTACTTAAGCGTTGTCCATAACAGCACGTGGGGGTGGGGTGAGGATTTTGTAGCCATGGCGCTGGCGTTCCAGCCGTGGCTTGTACATGTTGACCCTCATCTGAGGTGGTTCACGTATCTGATCAGAATGTGATTAAAATGTTTCTATCGTGTGTATTTTGTGTCTGTGTGGACAGAGCCGGGAAGCTGCAGGTGAAAAACAGATTTGTTTATATGGTTTGATGACAAACACAAAGCTGGAAGCAGATTTCAGATTGGTCAACAACACTAATTGTCATGGGAGTTAAGGTTAGGGTGCAGGTTCAAATCCAGGTGCCTTGCTCAAACACTTTAATGATCAGATGAGTCACAAATACTGTCACATGTTCTGTAGTTATTCTGCAGCAAAGACCTGAAATTTCTACAAGACCTTTAATATTTAGACCATAACACTCATTAAAGAGAAGCGAACTACAAACATGGAGAGTCTGGTAAGAGGCGTGGATACGGCTCTGCTGCCAGTGCTTTAAAACGATAGTTCATGGTCTTTTATTTTCGTTTCATTAGAATACTGCTGATGAAGTGAATTACAGTTTGAGTTTTCCACCATAAGAAGTCATTATCACTCACCCACACACCCGTTTGTCCGTCCGCAGGCGACCCTAAAAGCTGGCAGAACAAGTCTGTCCCCGGAGACCCCAACTACCTGGTGGGAGCCAACTGTGTGTCGGTGCTCATCGACCACTTCTAAAGGACGGGCCAGCGGCTGGGATCTTACTGAGTGTGGACCCACGGAGGGCGGAGCAGCAGTGAAAATGAAGGCGATGAACTTGCATATAAAAACACACACACACCACATAATGAAGTGTGGAGAGCCAGTCAGTGCTGTTTACTGCACCCACAAATGAAGGCGAAACCTGCATTATTGATACGAACAGTTGGTTAAAATGTGTCCTGGATTTGAAGTTTTGATGTGAAGTAAAAGCTTTGATGCATGCCTCCGCTTAGTCAAGATCACACCATAGATGAAGCAGTGTTTCATGTCATTGTAGACATAAATATCGCTGGACGGGTGATTCTCGAGGCAGCTTGTGGGCTTCAGAAACGTGTCGGTGTATTCATGTTGTAAATGCATACACATATAGAGAAGATTTACTAAACTAGTACTTATAACCGAGTTCAGGGGACAGAACATGAAGAAGAATGGCCACCCTGATGACGAAGGTTTGGGACAGGTGCAGGTGTTTGAAGGAGCTGGTGAGGAACCCCAACAGCACACTTTAAAGACATTCTGTTCTTCCTCTTTCTATAATAACCCGGTAACTTGCGTTCCTCTTTAGCACCTCGTCTCTCCTTCCTGCCTGAGGGAGATCTATGCATGTTCTTTACTCAGGTCCAGTAGCCTCCTCCCATCTGTCTCTCATTTCCTCTCAACACTCTTGCACTCACACACAAATAAGCAGTGATGCCTTATCTGCAGATTATTCACTTTTCATTAAGAGAATAACATAAGTTATGATAAATTATGGTATAATGTCATTTGTTTTGCCATTTTTGTGAACCCACTGTATAAATAAACCTGGGTTTAGCACACAGTAATGGTTAATAAAAATAACAACGGTAAGCTCTTCTTTTATCTGCTATGCATTACTGAAACAAACACAACAGATAAGAAGTAGCTGTAAATAAACTGAGCATATTGCCTTGTTTCTTTTGTTTGTAAATGTACTTTTTGTATGGTTTTTTTTGTATAAAACTTAAGAGAAAACAGGTTTTAAAAAAGCAGAATACCCTGAAGCCTTGCAATTGTAACCAACAATAACACATCACACCTTTTCTACCAATATGTTGACACTGTGTTCAAGTACTTTTATTCATTTGAGGATCAAATAAGTACTTCAGCTAAAATGCAATAAAACATGTCCTGAAAGGGTGTGCTCTCGGACTGTCCCCCTCTTCCTCGCTGATTTTGTCATACTGGATGCTATATTGTGTGCCCTTATATGTATTTTTGTACTAATAGACACTATATTATGTATGGCACACCAGTACTGTTTTATTTTTAGACATAACACAGCTTTAATTTGGATATTAGCTCTTCACGTGTGGCTGACTTTTTTTTTTCTTCTCTTTTTGACACAATTTTAAGTATACCACTGTATTAATGAATAAAATCCTTTTTAAAATATTACTGGGGTGTGTACTTTTTTGAAATACCTGCATTGTTTGCTTTTAAATTAGCTATTGTGGCTTAGATTTTTTTTATTATTATTTCATCATAACTTCAGTTTTACTTGTGCATTTACCTAATTGTTCTTTGAAAACAAAACATATTTAGTCTTTTCGTAAAACGTGATCAGCGATTATGTTTTAATTCACGATTAAAAACGTGAATAAAAATACTAGATACCCAGTAGGACAACTCCTGGTTTTATCTCCAACATGGCCACTAGGGGGCGGAGGGTAGCTGTAAATAATTTTGAAATGCGTGGTCAAAATAAATAGATGATTATTTTTTACGGCACATTTAAATATTGAAGATTAATGGTAAATATGGTAGTTCTGCAACCAATACACTTGAACTTTCTGTTTCTAGTTTCTTTATAATCTTTGATTTAATGAACTTGGTTTAGAAAAAGCACCCTGCTTTTAAAAAGTACTTATAAATACTTATATAACTGTTCCTAATGTGTTTCATTTTTCTTCTAATGCGGCTTTATCAGAGACGGGAAATTCCATCTGGTGCTTCCATGAAGTCTTTCACAAAAAGATAAAGGAGCATTTGTTTGCTCGAGATCCAAATTGCTTGAAGGAGAGCAAAACAAAAATGTTCTGCCTAGAAAAACATCACTACCAAAACAATGGCGTTATTTCTGAAGATCACACCAAAGTAACAAGTTTTTGTTCCAACCTCTACAAGAACTTTACAGATCCAATTTTTACAGGCCTTAGCAGTCATGTGACCAACCTCAACCATCGACATATATACAACAAGAGGTGTTGATGGTAAATGGTAAATGGCCTGTATTTGATATAGCGCCTTCTAGAGTTCTTGAAACCCCCCAAGGCGCTTTACAACACAATCAGTCATTCACCCATTCACACACACATTCACACACTGGTGGGGATGAGCTACAATGTAGCCACAGCTGCCCTGGGGCGCACTGACAGAGGCGAGGCTGCCGAGCACTGGTGCCACCGGTCCCTCCGACCACCACCAGCAGGCAACGTGGGTTAAGTGTCTTGCCCAAGGACACAACGACAGCGACAGACTGAGCGGGGCTCGAACCTGCAACCTTCTGATTACGGAACCTTCTGCAACCTTCTGAAATGGATGTTTTGGAGACATCTGGTTTCAGCACTTAGACAGTTATTAATGGTTCCTAATGACATAGACAGTTATTAATGGTTCCTAATGACATAGACAGTTATTAATGGTTCCTAATGACATGGGCTAGTGATGAGGGTGATGCTATTGTCCTGTAACTGGACTTGACTGCTGATTATGATACCGTGATGTTAGATCATGGTATTCTGTTGGATTGTCTACAGAATTGGGTGAGGATTGCTCGGGAGGCCCTTCAATGGCTGAGATCCTTGAAGAAACTCTAGGTTGAGTTTTTGTGTGGATGGGTGATGCTTCATCACCCTGGAAAAGACTACTATGGGGAGTTTCTCTGGTCTCAGTCCATGGCCCCCTTCTGTTCACACTACCTCCTAACCCTGGGGGTCCTCCTTCAGCAGCATGGTGTTGACTCCCATTTCTGCCCAGTCTGCTTCCCTCTGTTGTGGGTGGGCAGGTGGCTGTGCGGTCACATTTTTTAAATTTACAATGGTTATCTAAGATCGAGCCACTTGGAAACTGTTGCATGCTTTTATGTTAGTCCCACCTTGATTACTGTGATGCATTATACGCTGGATGGAGTAAGGCTGCTTTTGCGTGGCTCCAACTGATGTAGATTCCTTACTGGGACAAGGAGGGATCACAAAAAATGTTCCCTCAGAAATGCGATCTTGGTATCGAGTCCAATTTGTGCAACCTCCAACAGAGGTTCATAGTACCTTCCTGTTTTAACATCCTTAGGAGAGGAAACTACAACTTTAAGATGGGCAAAGTGACTCAGACCCATAGTCACCCATGCAAAATGCCCCTTTGTCTAGGGCTACCTCCCAGAATGCATTTTGTTAATTATAAACTAATACAAAGATTAATTCTTCCTCCTCATTTTTCTCAGTTTGTACCACTAACCTGTATTTGTTATTCTAGAGCTACGCATCCCAGTACCAATTCTGCCCTTGTCAGGTGAAGGCCAGCACAGCAGTTGGTGGAAATGTTTCTGTTTTACTGGAATCAAACATTTGAAATGTTTTTTGCACACTGGTGTGACCCCTAATGTAAAAGAACCAATATTTTCATTTTGGCAGCACTTGGTAACACCACATCAACCACAGCGGCTGTCATCTGTTGTTTGTCCACCACCACAATGTCCGGTTGGTTCTCCATCGCCATTTTGTCAGTCTGGATCTGGAAGTCCCACAGGAGCTTGGCTCTCTTGTTCTCTAACTCCTTACGGGGTGTTTCCCACTTTGACCTTGGGGCTTCAAGTCCATACTCTGCACAGATGTTTCTGTACACAATGCCAGCCACTTGGTTGTGGTGTTCCACGTATGCTTTCCCTACCAGCATCTTACACTCTGCAGTTATGTGGTGGATTGTCTCAGGTGCCTCTTTGCATAGCCTACACCTTGGGTCTTGTCTGGTGTGGTAGATCTTGGCCTCTGTTGCTCTGGTGTTCAGGACCTGTTCCTGTGCAGCCATAATGAGTTCCTCTGTGCTGTCCTTCAGACCAGTTCTTTCTAGCCATTGGTAGGCTTTCTTGATATGAGCAACTTCAGTTATCTGTCGGTGGTAAGTCCCATAGGGGCTTGTCCTCCCACGATGGTATTTCCAGCATCTCCTCCTTTGTTTGCCATTGTGTGAGACATTCATTGAGCACATCATCTGTTGGGGCGTTATCCTCGATGTACTAATGGATCTTCGATGTTTCGATCCTGGACTCACACTCTCACACTTAAGTGTGAAGTCTCAGGGTGCTGGATTGAAGTCTCAGGGTGCTGGATTTGGGATGGAACCCTTCATGCATGCAGCTTCTGTTTCTTAACACCTGTCTTCTATATTTCTTCCTTTGGCCAGTTTGTTATTATTCCTGCAGGAATACATATATGTATGTGACAGGGTGAGCGTGTGTGTGTGTGTGTGTGTATATATATATATATATATATATATATATATATATATATATATATATATATATATATATATATATATATATATATATAAACAAAGATTATAAATAAGCTACGAATTGATAATTTAAATTTATTAATGACAGACCTACTGCATTTAACCCCCACGTTTTAATGTGCCACAATAATCACACCTATTTATTTATTCTAACCATGTTTTTCAAACTGTTGCAAAGCTCACTTCCACCCCCTAGTGGCCACGTGGTGTCATGAGCTGCCCTTCAGCCTCTGCCCAGTGTTTTGTCTTCCCCAGTATATTTCACCTGCACCTGATTGTTCCCACTCACCGGTCTCAGATTAGCTTCGTGTATTTAAACCCTCTGGTTGTGTTCCTGCGTGTGTCTGACCCTTTAGTTTAGAGAATAAAACCAGTTTACCTGCCAGCCTGGGCCCTGCTGCCTGCTCACCTGCGTTTCTCGCCTCCTCAAAAAAAATCGGATCTGGAACACTCCTTCACGGGGAAACGGATAATGACAGAACACCTGATTGTAATTAAAACACGATTAAAATAATCAAAGAAAATACATTAGTAATCAGTTCACATCTTCTGGATATCAGCTTCTGACTTTATTTTCATCTCCGGCTAACAAATCACATGCGGTGTTGCCCCCCCCCCCCCCCCCCCCCCCCCCAGTAGTAAAACAGCGCGCGCTGCTCGTCACCATGTCGCCGCACAGAGTGGCACATCTCCAGTGCGCAGTGAACACCTCCTGTCCTGCTGCTGTCGTCCACACCTGCACCTTCCTGAGGATGGCTACATCTCATCCACTCGAATATTAGGATTTTATTTCTTTAAATCTTCTAATCTGGGTTTGATAATCCGGTTTGGGTTGTTTAAGAACCCGCAGAAGAAAGCAGCACAATTGTGCGTGGCTTTTGGATAGCACGATGCGTTTGGGCTTTTTTTTAAATTCACCCCTGACTTCTGCGGATTCGCTGAATGACTTCAGTCATTTTATTTTGTGTGTTTTTATTTCTCTGATGCCGTAGCTACGGTGCCTCGTGCAGCCAGCCCTCAGCCACCTCTCTCCTCCTACCAGCCGCAGCGCGGCTCTAATTGGAGCGACACCAATTGATGGAGATCACCCACTTCTGGCGTTGAGCTCACCGTCCTATACAGCTGCAGGCTGCTGTGACTGGATGCTATTGTTCTGACTGTAACCTGCGTTTGTTTAGACACGGACCCTTTGTTGTTTCCTGGTGACAATCATGCCGCTGAACGCGCTGCCCCGCGGCGGCGGCAGCGCCATCGGCGGCCCTGGATCCCTGAGTCCAGCGTCGCTGTCCCGCAGCCTGTCCCGGCTGAGAGAGTACCGGACACGGACTAGGATCATGCTGGCGTTGGGGGTCTCCCAGATGGTCCTGGGGAGTCTGATCCTGGCTGTCAGCTTCGCGGCTCTGGCTCTCACCACATCGCCCAGAGTCCGGCACTCGTGTCCCTTCTGGGCTGGATTCTCGGTGAGTAAAATAATCAGTTCACAAAAAAAGAATTGGTGTAGAAATAAGTTTCTGAAATTTCAAGAGTCAGAGAAGAAGGGAAGAGAATATTTTCAACCTGCTTTTGCCCCTTTTGTGTTTGGAAAACTCCTCTGAGGTCTACATTCTCATAACCTTCATGAATGCTTTACAATTATTTAGGAAACACATGTTTGATTACCCAGAAACCTGGAGCAGGGCTGTGTGTGTGTGCGTGTGCGTGTGCGTGTGTGTGTGTGTGTGTGTGTGTGTGTGTGTGTGTGTGTGTGTGTGTGTGTGTGTGTGTGTGTGAGGGAGAGCGAGAGAGAGGAAATCAGTGTGGCTTTCACTTGGGAGTCTATAGTTTCTTGGCATTTCTGTCTAACCAGAGGTTAGAGTTCAAAGGTCAGTAACCTTCTAGATCAGAGCCTGAAGCTGATTGGTTGTGTCTGGATGGTGCTTAAGGTCCGTCAGCCTGTGCCTCTTTGGGACCTGATGGATCCTTGGGCCTATAGGCTGAGAACTTCTCAGCAGGACAAAATTCATGCTTTTTATTCTATTTTGATGATTTGTTAGACATTTTTGAGCTTTACTTCCATCATAATTTTGTAACCATTTTACACACAAGTTTAAAAAAGTCACGTGGAGACAGTCAAGAAAAATAAAGAGGTTGGGAAAAATTCTTGAATTAATTGTGGTCTTGGACAGGAAATAGTTACAGAACTTTGTCTGACCTCCAACAACTCATCCTAAAATGATAAAATAAAAAAAGTCTATGTTTAAACGTAGCCCAGGAGTATCTGAGTAGATGTAATACCCCACAAAGTGCAGTACAGTTTGTCACGTTTGGGATAAAGATCTTTCTAAAACTGACAAATATAATTCATTTAACATGAGTGGTCTTAAAGTCCACCAGTCCCTGCTAGAGGTGGGAAAAATGATCGATTCTAAGATGCATCGCGATTCAGCCGTGCATGATTCTGCATCGATGCAGCAACGTGACATAATGAGATTTTCTCCCTATGTCTATGTCTATGTTCTGGACGTGCGAGGACAATAAAGTTTTGAGGTTTTACAACTAGTTCTGGGGGCAGAGTTGCAATGACATGTGCACTGCGTTGCCATAGCGCCAATTTAAAACAGAAAAGGCGGGCAGGGATACAGGACAAACATTACCAGTAATCAAAGATGCACCCGTTACATTTAAATCGGATGTCTGGGCTAATTTCGGTTTGGGGATCCTTGATGTGAAAGAATCACTTAATGCAGCATTTGTTTACTATTTTTAAGTTCAGTTGTATTCTATCTTAAAGCTGCTCTACAGAAAACATTATTTCTTATATTATTTAAGTAATTATAGGCAGCACACTTTAAAAATTATTGCTCACTATAGTGAATAGATGTATGATCTGTTTTTCAGGGATGTCGAAATAAAAAAGAAATTGAAAACTATTCTACTGCTTTTATTAAGTAATAAAAAATTTTGTGTGAAGAATCGTGATGCATTTCAGACTCAAATCGAATCGTTAGGCAGATAATCGAAATCGGATCGAATCGAATCTTGAGGCAGGTAGAGATGCACACCACTAGTCCCTGCCCATCTGCCGACTGCCAAAGACCGAAATGAAACAGAGTCAGGGTGTTCAATTGATTTTAATCAAACAAATCTGTAATCTGTATTGAGAGTCTTGTTTCTTCAGCAATACACGGTGGTGGTTGTATCATGGTTTGTGCCTAGTTGTATAACAATAGATTTGAACTTGTGTCCTTTTATAAAAAAAAATCTGTTTTAGATCAAGAGTGTTAAAGCCGTGTTTTGGGGGATTGTCCTGCATGCTTTTACAGTTTCCCTGCTTCAGCACCTGATTCATATGAATTAATGTTTTGCAGAACTTGAGGAATGGAGTTAGTTTCCATTTTTTGCAGACGATGGTGCAACTTTTCAGGTTCCAATCAACTTATCTCTGCTTTTATTTCCTTTTGAAGCCAGTATCCCATTGGGTGGTGAGTGGCAGTCGATAAGGAAGTCCCTGGAATGTTAACAAATGTTCTGCTTCGTTCAGTAGAAATTGGAACAAAGATGTTTTTTTCCCTCTCAAAATGGTCTTGGTGGGAATCTGGAGCTTTTCTCAACTCAGCATGTCGAATTTGAAAGTGAGATAAACGTGAGACAACTTTGGGAGGAGTTGGCGACTTTAATTATTAAAGACAAAGAAGTGAATCAGACATTTTGAGTGAATTAAACTTTTGAAAAAAAAAAAAAAAAGACCGGTTTATTTGGAAAATAGATTAAAACCTTTTGAGTAAATTTGGACGTTTTCACAAGTTGCACAATTTCTTTTTGCAGTTCTTGTCAAACACAAACTGTGGCTTTAGCGTTCACTAGGATGTCATAATTCTGCGTCAATAAAACAGAAAATGAGCGATTTTTCTCAGCTTTACAAAGCAAACAAATAAATTTTTTTAAAACAACTACAAAAAATTACATTAGCAATCTTCCATAAAGATTTTTTTTTATCCAGAATCACCAAAACATGAAATTATTCATAAAAAAATATATATTTTTATTAATTCTTCCTGCTTTAGCAGACATTTCTCTGAAGGAACTGTGTTTAAGCCCATGCCATGTTGGAGTGGAGCTGCAGAATCAGGTGATTTAAAAAATAACAAAAAGCTCATTTAGCCACGAGACCCACAGGCCTCAATGGCGCCAAAACCCAGACAACGTGGTTGTGACCAGCTTCCCTTCCGTTGGCTCTGAAGATGGGAGAGATTGAGCCACAATCACAGGAAGTCTCTGAAACTCTGAGATGCCTGAAGGCTGTAGAATGACTCAGAAGCACTAAAAGGTGAAGTCCCAGAGTCATCATCACACACTGGTGAAGTTGCATCTCCATATTTGACCCATCCCCGTGGGGAGCGGTGAGCTGCAGCAGTGGCTGTGCTCAGGAACTATTTAGTGGTTAAACCCCCCCAGTCCAACCCCTTAAAGCTGAGTGTCAAACAGGGAGTCATTGGGTCCCATTTTTAAAAGTCTTATACGACCCGACCAGTTTTGAACCCCGATCTGCCAGTTCCAGGGCGGACACTCTATCACTAAGCCACTGAGCTGGTCAAAATATGTCTGTAAACTTTAATTACTGGATGAAGCGTAACAGCTAATCTGGATAAGAAGTCGACAATGTGGAGTCTGTTTTAGAGAAAAAGACAAAACGGCTATACGACACTTTTTAAATCCGGGAAGGAACAAATCTGTTCGTTTTGTGCAAGTCTGTGTTGAATTTTGGTCTTTTTATGTTCCACTTCCTGCTGTGATGATGAAATTGGCTAATAAAGGAGGTGACAAACCCTCCAGTCTCTCTCTCTCTCACACACACACACACACACACACACACACACACACACACACACACACACACACACACACACACACACACAGTCACTGTGGGACGTCATTAAGGATCTCTGTGTGATGACTGGTGTTGTGGGGTTTCATCACAGTCGCTGTGAGGGAAGGCGTAATCTTTACTTCCTACACAGAGCAATCACTGCTGAGCTCAGAGTGGCTGTCCCTCCTCCTTCATCACACACACACACACACACACACACACACACACACACACACACACACACACACACACACACACACACACACACACACACACACACACACACACACACACACACACACACACACACACACACACACACACACACACACACACACACACACACACACACACACACACACGCACGCACGCACGCACACACACACAGTGGATCCATCTCCCTCTTCCCAATTTTCCACACTTGGAATATGAATCTATTCTTGCTGCTTTGATGTTCTGAGTCGTGCGTCGGACAGCGTAGCATCACACACAACATGCACACAAGTTCCCTGCTAGAAGAGGCTAATCTCACTGATGTCTTTCTCTTCCTCTCAGAGCATCAGTTCTTCTAGTCAAACCCTCCAGCAGCAGCAGTTTTGTTGCTTCCCGTCTTTGCGTTTTGGGCAGATAAAAATGATGATGGGTTCTCACCATCGACATTAATATACTGGACAATTCCTTTCCATAGGCTCCAATATCACGTTTTTGAGGCCAAATAGGAGGTGGCCACCACCGCCATTTTGACCGTGTCACAGGTTCCGTCAAGCCCAGACAATTCCAAAAAAGGGAAGAGAGGTGGAGCTGAGGGTGGGGCTGTAAGGCTGGGATCAACTGACGACACCCGGTCGAACTAGCTACAAGCTAACCTGAAGCTAACCCTGGCTAACCCAAAGCTAACGCGGAGGTGGGAGCCGAGCTAATGGATAAAGCAACCTAGCTACAACCGGAGCTAACTCTGTGGAACACCCATCGACCGCATGGAGTTCAGGTGGAGGTTTGCGGCGCTTTTTCATGAAAAGTACCTTTCTGTGAATAAAAAAATATAAAATCGGTAAGTTTATAAGTTATTTCTGTAATGAAAATATATTTTGCTTTGAGCAAGTTTTCACTATTTTTCACGTACCATATTTTCCGGACTATAAGTCGCTCCTGAGTCGCACCAGCCATTAAATGTATAATGAAGAAGAAAAAAACATAAGTCGTATTTTGGGGGAAAATTTTTTTTTTCTTACAAAATCTGAGACCAAGCGTTTCACATTGCAAGACAAGTACCGGTAACAATAACCGAATAATGCGCCGCAGCAGCGCGCCACGGCTGGGACGTAATTTTGGGGGGGGACGGGTGGGACATGTCCCCCCCATTTTTTCAAAAGGCAGTTTTGGTCCCCTGCACTTTTTTCCGTCCAAAAACAATATTACGCTCCATTAAATGGATTTGGTTGAGCACTAGGACCGAAACGGAAACCGGTTTCCTATTAGACCCGCCCAAAAGCTAATCTATTGGCTCTGCTGATACTTGCTAACGTATTATTGGCTGTTGCTGCTGTCACTCAAGTTGTAAACAGTCAGAACGTGCTCACGTTGTTTTGCTAGTTTGGAGCCGCTAGGGAACAC